TATAATATTTAGGAAACGAAATAAAAAGAATTAAGTTTAAATTTTTATTATTTATCTCAAAATATGTATTTAAAGTGGACAAGGTGCGGAAAAATGTCACCTTTTTAGCATTTAGAAACTTTTTTTAAAAACATAGAAAAATTGTTAAAAGTGTAAAAAAAATTATTTTTTCTTGTTTAGAATCGATTAATTATCTATTTTTTAATGATTAAAGTAGTAAATAAATTAAAATAATATATAAAATAAGTTTTCAAAGTTGGTCTGTCAAATAACCTAATTTTGGGATTTTTATTAATTAATTACTAAAAAGTGGAGTTATTAAATAAAATAAAAACTTACCGAATGTAAAGTATTTGTGGTGAACTTTCAAATTTTCTTAGCACTTTGTACTTTTTAAATTTATAAATGTAAAAAATCTTGAGTCGAAAATTTGCACTTTGTTGACTTTTCCGATTTTTAATCGCTTGTAACTCTTTTGGTGCAAAATAAAAACTTTTGAAACCTGGCGGAATATTTAAGTTATATCTAAATAAAAACTCACTGTAATTTTCGTGATGGATTTTGATCGAGATAAGGAGAAAATTTAATTCCAAAATTGTACGTATATTTCCAGGTTAATGTATGTAATTTTTCGTCTTTGAAGTAGTGGCCCAACTTCAAGTTTAAAAAAATTACATACATTAACCTGGAAATATACGTACAATTTTGGAATTAAATTTTCTCCTTATCTCGATCAAAATCCATCACAAAAATTTAAGTGAGTTTTTATTTAGATTTAACTTAAATATTCCACAAGGTTTCAAAAGTTTTTATTTTGCACCAAAAGAGTTACAAGCGATTAAAAATCGGAAAAGTCAACAAAGTGCAAATTTTCGACTCAAGATTTTTTACATTTATAAATTTAAAAAGTACAAAGTGCTAAGAAAATTTGAAAGTTCACCACAAATACTTTACATTCGGTAAGTTTTTATTTTATTTAATAACTCCACTTTTTAGTAATTAATTAATAAAAATCCCAAAATTAGGTTATTTGACAGACCAACTTTGAAAACTTATTTTATATATTATTTTAATTTATTTACTACTTTAATCATTAAAAAATAGATAATTAATCGATTCTAAACAAGAAAAAATAATTTTTTTTACACTTTTAACAATTTTTCTATGTTTTTAAAAAAAGTTTCTAAATGCTAAAAAGGTGACATTTTTCCGCACCTTGTCCACTTTAAATACATATTTTGAGGTAAATAATAAAAATTTTAACTTAATTCTTTTTATTTCGTTTCCTAAATATCATTAAAAATCATTTCTGAAAGTATCAACTTCTTTAAAAATTAGGCCGCAACGACTTTAGGTGAAATATAATGGAATGACCCTTTTATTAATTTTTTATCGTTTATTTATCGACATGGTAAATAATTGATATATCGAAAGTTAAACATCGATCTCCTCAGGCGCGAAGTGACGATGAGTTGAAGCTTTATAAAGATTGCCTGAGCATTGGTCAATATTGATTGAGCCTTGGTGAGAAAGCTCGGTCAAGACTGCTTCCGCTGTTACTTACTATTCTCGCGTTCAATAATTCTTAATAATAATAGTAATAATAATAATAATAATAATCCTATTAATATTACGTATTATTATATTTATAGATAAAATTAAAACAACCTTAGTATTCATTAATGATATTATTTTAATTTATTAATAATAAGGAGATAAGTTGTATTGGAATGTTATAAGAGTCAATACAACTTATCTCCTTTAATTATTATTAGTAATTTCAAAAAAAATTTACTATTATTTAATCAATTTAATTCCAAGTTCTTTTACTATTTTTTGTCATCACTCAAGATTAATTAACAACACCTGTCGAAATAACACCTAATCTAATTTGAAAAATCTCGCTCGCACTGGGCACCAAACCCACAACCTAACGCTCGCAAACCTACTACGCTAACCACGGGGCCACGCTGGCTACTTGTCGACATTCTGTTAATACCGGTGATGTTTTTAGCGCGCTTTTATGCTAAATTTAAGATGTTCTTATCGTTAAATTACTTATATATTTTTAATATAATTATAAAATTATTTTAATTTACACATTGCTGTTAATTTAAATAAATTATATTAAAAATTTTTTTTATTAATAGAATAAAAAAACTTTGTAATGAATATATAAACTTTTATTTTTATTAAATTAATAACTTATATATTTATAAATACAATAAAAATATAAAATAAAAGCATAATATAAATTGATGAAAATATTTCAATTGTTGTATTTTCAATTATTTGTATTTTTGAAAATACAATTATAGTAAATATTGTTTTTCACGTTATATTTAAGATTTATCATCTTTATAATATATTAAATTTAATTAATTAATTAATTATTACAATATTATAGGAATATTATAATATATATATAATAATACATAATAAAGATGATAAATTATTATAATATAATCTTAAAAAAACAAAATTTATTAAAAGAAATTATTTTAAAAAATGTGTTGAATATAATTATGTATTATGATTTTTATTGTATTTATACATATAATATTTATAAAATATTTAGTTATAAAAAAACAAAGAATACTTTCATTGAAATAAATAGCAATATATTAATTTAAATAATATTAATTAATAATTATAAAATATAGGTATTAAATTGTATTTAACAAAAATTGTAAAAAATATGTTATTTAATTTGTATTGAACGTATATAAATAATTACTCAATACAATTGTATTTTAGACAACATAATAATTAATATTGAATTAAGCTGCGAATATTAAGTCGAAAGTTGATTCAAGATTGAATTTAGAATGGACTCTAGGTTTGGCATTGGTTTTTCTCGCCCGGGTCGGAACATACATGTCGATTCTTTTGAGAAAAAATTTAAATATTCATAGTGTAATTTATTTATATATATCCGGTTTTGCCCCACCGTTTGGTACCCGGTTTTGCCCCGCACTGCATTTTTTAACAAAATGTAAAATTCTCAGCTTATTGTTAATAATTTAACAATTACTTTTAATGAAAATTATTCGTAAATGCTGAAAAAGATGTTATACTTGCCGAAACGAATATATCGACACAAAAAGTTTTATAAGTGATTTACTTTCGATAAAAAATGGATTTTCTTTTGACCTAAAATTTCAAAGTCGCATAAAATATAATAAATAAATTTTTATATAGTGATTATATAATTAAAATGATTTTGGTTGTAATATAAAAGATATATGTAATGGGTGACACAAATGGAAATACCTATCATGGGGTACCCGGTTTTGCACCACTCTCCCCTATTTAATTTTTGAAATTTTTGTTCATTAAAACAAAAATAATTCATAAAAATGTAAATATTGTTTTGCTTTTAAAATAGTTTATTGTAACTGTAACATTCAATTTTCCAATTAACCTTTGGAGCACACACCTCTTTTTTCTAACACGAAGCACACTCAGGGTCTCTGTGACCCGGTTTATTTTTCAAAACTATCATTTATAAACTTCTCATTAGATCGACATAACAATTTTTTTTTAAATATTCTTTAATCATTGTAGAATAAGTTTCCATACTTGAAAAATTTAATTATAAATATTTTATTATAGAAAAAGAATGCTGAAAGACAACAACTTTTCAGAAAAACGAAAAAAATTATATTTTGTAAAAAATGTTAGTTCTTCTAATGTTTAATATTTTTAGCTAATATTTTACTTTTGTGTTCTCGAAAAGTGGTACAATAAAACAAAAATTAATTCTATATTAAATTAATTTAAATTAAATTTATATTAAATTAATAATAACTTGAAAAAAGGATCAACTACAATTTTGGTCTTCACGAATTGATTAATTAAATTTGTTATAAACAAATATGTGCAGAACTTATACGTTAATGATAAAAATCGGTGGAGATTCCTAAAGTTAACTCCAAAATGTATAACTAATTTTTTTTTAAAGCAAATATCAATAATTTTCTACATTTTTATTTATGAAAGTAATGCATTTATACATTTTTTTAAATAAGACATAAAGAACACTTTGTTGAAAGTGGTTTACAAATTTTAATGGCCGTCCGTCATCCTGTCGCCTCAAAAGATAAACAGTTTGAAATAAATGAATATATTAAAAGTGATTTTATATATTATGTATCGAAATAAGCTTAATTTTTTAAAGAATAATTATTCCATGAAAGGCCAAAATTAATTGTATTTCTTCACTTTTTTGTAAATAATTCAATGTAATTAAAAATTAATTTGTGACTAATTTTTTTTGTTGATGAGAATTAATCCAATTTTAAAAATCTAATACACTATATTAAAGTTCATTAAATTTACTAAAAAAAAATATATAGCCGTAATTTTTTCATTTTATGCACTTTAATGAAAATAGTGATAGAAAAAATAAGTTTACCAATTATTACATAAATAAAATTTTTATTAAATTTAAATAAAACTATATTTTTTTTTTAAGTTTTGAGAACTTAGTAGTTACTAATTATATGAAACAATATTATGATCAAATTGACATTTTATTATTCGAAAACAAGAATAAAATTTAAATATTAGTCTGAGATTTGAGGAAGAATTATATTAAACGCAACTTTGAATTAGCATTATATTATTCTGAACCAAATGTCCTCTGCACTCCACTCCACGTGCATGATGACTCATTTGTTTAGACTAAATGTTTGTCGACATCCTAATCTAAAGTATGGCCCACCATAGAACGAGCAACAAAGACTCTTGACTAATTCTGCTACATATAATTTTCTTCCTCCTTTTCTTCTTCATTATATTTTTGTTACTCGTTATTTATGATTTATTTATTATTTTTCAATTGCAAAACTCGATTGTAATTACATAAGTGAAAATATTAATTCAGTTAAAATAAAATGCTGTAATATGCAATTTCTTAAATTAATTTCGAATTAATATATAAAAATTCAAATTTATGTTGTTTATTAAAATATGTTGTATTTACTTTATTTTTACAGTTAGAAAGAGTAAAAAACATGGATGAAGACATTTATAAAAAGTGTGTTGATCACATAGCATATTTAGATGGACAATTGCAATTGGTAACAAGACAAAAATTATTTGCTGAACAGAGAATAACACAATTGTATCAAGAAAATGGTAATATTATTGAAAAATTTGAAGTAGAGCGCAGCTCTTTATTGGAGGAACTTAAAGCATTTAAAAATTTATCAACTGAGACCAAAGATATACAAATACGTTATAAGTCTCAAATTGATGATTATATTAAGTTACGACAAGAATTGAATGCAGTTGTTAAACATAAACAAGAATTGAAATGTGAACTTGACGAATGTGAATTAGATAGAATGAGACTAACAGAAACTATAAAAGATTTAAAGAAACAAATGTCAAAGGAGCAGGAAATCATATTTGCTGATTTAGAGTAATTTTTTTTTGAAATTATTAATTTTTAAAAGTAGATTATTCGATAGATTTGTAATATTAATTAATATTTAATAATTATAATATTATAGGCAAGAACGGGTAATGTCTTTAGAGTGGAAAAAGATTTTACTTAAACAATATCTTGATGAGCAGCTTAGAGCTAATGGGAATTTAATACATGGGTAAGTTTTGTACGTTTGTGTGTTAATAAAATCATGATTCATTTATAAAAAAAAACTTTTTTTTGTTTATTTTACAGACACATGGAGCAATGTAATATAGCGTTACATGTCTTTTCATATGTGAATTCTTATTTAAAGAATTCGTTAAATATGACCCTTTTTCCAGAAGCTAATGAGTGGAATACAATTCTTAATGAATTAAAAGAATTACAAAAATCTCAAGAGGTAAATAAGTTTTTTTTATGACATAATAAATTCAGGCCTCGGATCGACTTTAAGACGCAAAAACAGTCGTTTTAGTCGATGTACATTCAAAAAAAAAAATTTATTTTAATTAAATTTAATAACTTGATGAATATTTTACTTTAAATAACTAATTAGATATTAAATTCATTATATTAATTCCTGAATAAGAATAATTCTATAAGAATATTATTAAAATAATTTATTTCGAATATTTCAGAATCGAACTAAGACAAATTTCCAAAATTTTAATTCAGTAAAACAAATTTCTAAAAAGCAATTCTTAAAGTTTCATTATTAAAATTTTTTGAAGTCTGATTTAAGCAATTTATTTGAATATAAAATTTTGGCATAGTTTTTAGTTTTAATGATCAAAAAAAATTTCAGATAATAATTAATTATTACAGACTTGAAAATAATTTATCAAATAATTATAGATAACATTTTTTAATTCATATTTTTAAAAATAATTGAAGTGATTTTTAATTAAAATTTTTTTTTATTTCTGTTGATGAGAAATTTATTAGAAATTATAGACAAAAATTGAATTTTAAAAGTTTATAATTGAAAAATGCTTTCAAATAATTGAATTTTTGAATAATATTTTAAAAATCTTTAAAAGTCATTAAAAATAATGGAAGAGTTGGATGGACTTTGGAAGAGTTAGAGTTTAAATTTTTAGAAATAATTTAATTTTAAGCGTCGCATGATTATCCCACAAAAATCATAATTTAACCGAATTATTTTAGCATACTTCTCATTCAACAGAATTATGAGTTATTCGAATTTTTAAATGTCAGAATTTACAATTTTGGCGCAATTTTTAAAATTTAACCAATTACGATTTTTTTGATTATTTTTTATTTACAATTTCGGATAAATGAAAATTCATCTCTTTAATGAATCTATCAAGTAACAATTCGTACAAATAAAAATTCCGACAAAAAAATATTCGGTGAATTGGAATTTCTGACATTTAAAAATTCGAATCACTTAAAATTCTGTTGAATGAGAATTATGCGCAATTAAAATTTGATTAAATAAGAATTATTTTTAATAAAAAGTTTGATGAAGAAAAATTTTGCTAAATAAAAAATTTGTTTAAAAAAACATTCTGTTAAATGTTAATTCGAGAAATAAAAATTCTTCTATAAAATAATTATATCTAATTTATGGGATAATCATGCAGAATATTTCAAAAGATGTTAAATTCTTAATTTATTTTTAAATTTTAATTGGAATTTTTGGTGATTTGTGTTGCTGAAGGATTTATTAGAAATTACTGACAAAAATTGAACTTCAAAAGTTTTTAATTGAATAATACTTTCAGATAATTGAATTTTTGAAAAATATTATAAACAAGGAGGGGGTTATTTATGTTTATTTTATAAACATTTTGCTTCCTCATTGTGTGAAGCAAAAAATTTGCTTCCTCGTGGAGGAAGCTATGAATTTCACTAATTCAATTAATTGATTTAAAACATATCGAGTTAAAAACTGATTTAAATTATTTAAATTTTTTGAAAAAATAAGAAAATTTTAATTCATTTTGGGTGTAACATAAACTTTATATATATGAATCGATTCGTTTCAATACAAGGAATTCAATTATTTTATGTATTAACTTGAATTTAAAAAAACACAACATTTTTTAGCTAAAATGAGAATTTTTTATTTTTTTAACTTTCATTAATTCTTTAAATTTCAATCAAATCTATACTTCATAATATATATACCAATCGATTCGTCTTGACGTAAGGAAGACGATTATATTATATATTACCTTAAATTTTTCTATTTAAAAATTTTTTCAATTAAAAAAAAATTTTGGAAAAAAGACGATAAACTTTTTTTTGGAGGTATTTTTAAAAATGCTTTCGTCATTTTTGAGAGATTAATGTGATAAATAAGCCTACCAAATTTTACCCAAATCCATTAAAACCTGTTAAAGATATCGTGTTCACAAAAACGATCTACACACACATACATACAACCGGACAATTGATCAGGATCTCATATAACATGTTTCTATGTAGAAGAAAATTTGTTTTTACCATTTTTAAAAATTTTATAAATGAAAGGACTACAAAGCTTCCTCCGCGAGGAAGCAAAATCATTAAAAATAATGGAATTTCGGAAGTGTTATAGTTGAAATTATTAAATCGCAAAAAAATTTTAAATGGGCAATTTTAGAAATAATTAAATTTAAGAAGTTTTTAAATTTTTATTTTTTAAAATAATTGAATTTCAAGTGATTTTGAATTAACATTTTTGGTAATTTTATTTGCTGATTTTTTAAAAATCTTAAACAATTATTGAACTTCATAAAATTTTTTATTTGAAAACTAGTTTATTGAATTTGTGAAGAATTTCATTAAAATTATTAAAAATAATTAATTTACAGAAGAATTATAGTTAAAATTTTTTTAAATAATTGAAATAAAGAAAATCTGAAGAAGATCTACATTGTATAATAAAAAGACATATTTTGTTTAAAATTTTTTGTAAAAAATGTACCAAAAAAAGTCGAAAAAGTAGCATCTTATTAAAAATAAGTCGAAAAAAGTCGTATAATCCCTGGCCTGTAAATTAACAATAACGTAAAATATTTTTTCATTTTCTCCTTTTGCTTTTTTATAAAATTAAAACATCTTAAATTATTAGAAATCTGATATGATTTAATTTAAGTTGTTTGAAAATTTTTATGTACATTGATTCTGTATTTTGTGTAGAATGAATGTTCAACATTATGTGAGTTATTAAATTTGAGTGGCGAATCACTTAATTTGGATGATTTCAATTTAAAAGTACCTGTGATTCCACCAAAGCCATCTCTTCTCTTGGCTGAAAGTATTCAACGTGGTTTTCAATATGTACATATGCATTTTATGATGCCTCGCATTCCAAACATGCCACCACTTCCGCAACCACGACCTCAAATGATGCGTCCTGCAATGGAACTTCAGCCCAGATATTGTAATATACCTCCAAATCCACCAGTATATTTAATGAACCATGGATATCAATATCAAAGAAATATTTATGCACCGCCACAAGTTCATCCACAACCACTGGTGAATGTAAATTTCTCACGACCTCCAATGCCATTGCAGAATAATATCTACACTGAACCAAGTAAATCAGTCATTCCTGCTAATTTAATAGGTAATCGTTTAAATTCATTATTTATTATTTTCAAAAAAAAATATAGTATATAGAATGTCTTTTGGTAAAAATTAATTTTTTGCAACACTAGCCTCTAAAATTAAATTTTACACACCGAAAAGTGTGTGTAAAGAAGCTCTTTTTAAAACGGTGTGTAAAGTGATTCACTTTACGCACCGAAATTTTTCTCACATAATATAAGGATTGTTTTAGACCATACAAAACCACAAAATTAAAGAAAGAACTTTACTTTTAAATTTATACACTACTGCTTAATGATATTTATCCTGATCTTCGATTGATTTATTTAATTCTGTACAATCGAAATTATTCTAATAGAGAGTTGGAATTCTTCATAATAGGTACTTAACTTTAGAGGTGGGTGTTGCAAAAAATGTTGTATAATACACATGCGTAAATCTGATTATACTTGTGTAATCACTCACTTTACGCACTTGTATCATAAATAACTATTTTTCTACAGTTATCAATGAAGACGAAAAACCATTAAATTATGGATCAAGAGAAGAATCTGTAAATTCCAATGATGTTAGTGTAAATGAAGTTGAGTTTGAAGAGAAAAATGAACTCAGTGAAGCATCAAGCTTAGGAGGAAGCACTAATTCACTGTCCATGAAATCTGATACAATGCAAACTACATCTTTGTAAGTTTAATTTATGATATCTTAATTATTTTTTAAAAAGAGTTCCATGTTTTTTTCGATTTAAAATTAATGGGATATTATTTCTAATACATTAAGGGACCATTTGAGCAAAAAAAAATTCGATTTCTTAAAAGTGTTTGGGTGATGTTACCCCCTTAAGTTGAATCAATTTCTAATTTATTATTTGATACTACATTTTTTTCAATAATATTCGCAAATTTTTGCATTGTTGAAGCCACGAAACCAGGTAGCTTGCTCCACTGTATATTTATATAAAATGATTAAATTTCTTTAAAAAACATTTATAACAATAATAATTGTTAATTTCAAAATCTATTTTATTATTAAAATTAAATTCAATCAATTTGTTTTTTTTTTTTACTTTTCTTAGAGAAAATATTATTGTTTTTTCTTTTTTGTCTTATATTGCATTTAAATTGTTGGTAATTAATATTTTCTTCTGTATAAACAAAATCGATTAAAATGCCTCAAAAATATTCATTTTTGAAAAAATGTACTTCAAACTCTGATATCTGATATAAGCTAGAATTAAAATTTGTTTCAAATATTTCTTTTTTTCTTAGTATTTTATCATACAATATTACATTTACACCAATTTTCATAAAAATTTAAATATCCACCACCAATTTTGATTTTTTTTTTTGTTAGAAAATTTGACCCTACTAGAAAAATGAAAAAAAAAATCTTTTTCTGTTAATGGAAAATTATTGATAATTTATTTACAGAAATGGCATTCAATTGAAGCAACCGAAATTTGGAACAGACAGAATAATGGAGAAATTACGCAATGAATTTATTGGACTTCCTGAGTAAGTAAGATTTGATTTCTTAATTAATTATGATCGATTTATGTGACTACCTTTCGAGCATTCAGCTGAATATCGAAAATATTATTTTTTAATTCGGATCTTTAATTGATATAAATATGATGATAGTTAACAAAAAATGTCTCCAGTTATTCTAATAATAAAATTACTATTTTTTTAAAATATTTTATTTTTATAAATATTTTTGAATAAACGAAAATTATTTTAATTCACATTTCACAATATTATTGCAGATTTGATTTAATCGATTGCATTTTAGAAGTACGTAAAATGCACAATAATTCATTAACTGGATTGAAAACCTTGGATGTTATTAATGAAGTCAAAGAATTGATTATTAAAAAACAACGACAATGTAAGTTGTTTTTAAATCTTTCTAATAACATTGTTTTAATTTAACAATTGATATGGATCTAACAATTTTTTTTCCTTCTCATGCTTTTTTTCTATAAAACTCGTTAATTTATAATTACTTCAAAAATTATTATTTACTTTTAGATATCTTTGAGTACAATGATAAAAATGGTTCTGTTGATCGTAAGGAAGAAAAGTCAAAAGTCACCGAAAGTCCAAGTAAGGAGAAACGTAAGTTATTTTGAAAAAAATTTATAGAATCCCTTAAAGAATTACATCGTTATAAATTTAAGTAATTTATTAAAAAAAAAATTTTACAGTTACAGAAAATAAAAACACTTTTCATCCTTTTGCTTTTGAACGACTGTCTGCTTTACGTAATCGTAATAATTCTGTTTCTTCAACATCTTCAGGTAAAAAAAAAATAATAAATAATTTATTTATTTAAATATTTATTTTGCAAATAGAACGCCTCGTATTATACAACTTTTTTCTACTTATTTTAATAAAATACGATTTTTTCTACTTATTTTACAAAATAAAATTAAAAATTAAATATTATTTATTCAATTAAAAACAAAATGCCTAAGCCTTTTTGAGTACAAACTGTAGCTAATTTAAAATTCAATTATTTTTGAAAATTTGAATCTAAAAAGTTCTTGCAAAATTAATTATTTTCAACAATTTTAATAAAATTCTTCGCCAAATTAATAATTATAATTATTAATAAATTGTTTTAATTCAAATAATTTTTATCAACTTCTTTAAAAATTTAATTATTTAAAATATTTTTATGTAAAAATTCTCCACTTTTCCAAAAAGTACATATTTTATTATCAGAAAATGACTGAAATTTTTCTTTAACTATTTGAACTTGAAACTGACAAAATTATGAACTCATAAATAATTTGAATATAGAATTTTTTAAAAATTGTCTTATCTATGAATCTTTTCTGTAGAAAGTCTAGAATGCAGAAAAAAACATTAAAATTAAAAATTATAATTCTTAATTACTGTGTTTTTTTGCAGTTCCTACACCTAATAACGTTGAAACTCAAAATACAAAAAAATCTTCCGGAAAGTCTGCTTGGGTTGTTAAACAAAAAGAAAATAATTGGACAAAGGAAACCATTGAAGTGGAATGCAATATATGTTTCGATCCACTGGATAATATTGGAAACAAAAAAACTGTTTACACATTGGAATGTCAACACTCATTCCACAAAGAGGTAATAATTCTTTACTTTCGTTATAACTTTATGCTTAAGTAGCTATGATTAATAGAATAATTAATTAATTTAATAGCTATTCTTTTAGAATTTAATTTTAATACAAAACTAACATTTAATTTCAGTGTATCAAAGAATGGCTCCAAACCAGTAAGACTTGTCCAAATTGTCGAGTGTTTGCAACCCACGACGAAGACTATCCTCCATTGCCATAAAAAAATAATTTTCTTAATCTTAAGGATACTTTATCATACTTTATCATACTTCTATTATTTTAATTGTGAATTATTTTATTTTGTATAACAATAACTGTTTAGTTGGATATTGTAATATTTTTTCTAAAAAAAACAAAACAATGATTGCATATGAAAAAAATAAATAATAATTTTTCTACAAAAATACATAATTTCTTTTATTTCTTTAAAATTTAGTTGTAAAAATATATTTTTTTTAATTCCACCAGAAACTTATAGAAAAACTAGGCGAGAGACTAACTACATGATGCCACCATTGTGGCGGAATAAATAACATTTCTCCTGGTTTCAAATAACAAAAGAAACCTTCCGCTGATTTAAATTTTGGCCATTTTTCATAATCTGGTTGATAAGGATCCACTTGCGCTGTATTAGATAGTAATCTCGATTCATAAGGATAAAGATATTCACTGTCTTCTGGTTTATAAAGAATTATTCGTTTGTATCCAAATACCTATTTAAAACAAAATTAATTCTATTGTCAATACAAAGAGTTTTAGTTAACTTTTTTTTATAAATAACATTATTATATGGTTTTAATAGAAATAAATCTATATTGAAAGAGATTTGAAACTAATAATTTCAATAGTAATACAATTATCGAAGAATTAATTCAAAATTATTAAATAATTAAGTTTTTTTTAAAATAAAATTAATTTAAATTATATTTTTGAAAATAATTAAATTTTCAAATATATTGAATTAAAAAAATTATAATTGAAATTTCGTAAAATAATTTGAGTGAAAGCTTTGAATATAATTGCATTTTGTCAAAAGAATTTCATTAAAACTTTTAAAAATAATATGTCATTTGATTTTTTTAATAATTTGAATTGTTCTTTTTACAATGTTTGTTTAACATAATTTTCATTTGATCGAATTTTCGTTTATTACAATTATTTTAAATAGAATCCACATGTCATAAAAAGCAACAAAATTCGAAAATGTCAACAAAAAAAAACATTGTCTGGAAGTCAGGGAAAATTATAATGAAAATTTTGTGTCCACCCTGAATAATTTATAAATAAATTCAAATGCATTTTTTATTAGAAATAATTGGGGGAAAAAACATTATTTTTGTTTATTACCTGACATAATAAATTGTTCTTTGGATCATAATGTAAAGGAGAAACAGTTCCTGCTGGACCAAACCATGCATTAATATCTGGCAAACTTTCATCGTCTATATCAGAAAATGAACAAAAATCTGGTACAGAAAAATCTTCCTTTAATTCTGGTATCTGAAAATTTTTATTTTAATGTGATAATTGAATTTAAAAAGTGAATTAAAAAAATTTTTATCAAAAAATATACCTACTTTTTTACTAGTAGTGAATAAAAAAAATTCTTGAAAAAATTTAATTTATTAACTGCACAAGACAGTATAAACCTCATAAAGTGATGAAAATTAAAAAATAAAGATAAACCTGCTGAAATAATTGATGTTGAGCTAAATATCCAATTTTTGTACATTTGGAAGAAATATGAGTTTCGAGATATTCTGAAAATGTAATAAGCTGTTGTGCCCAATCATCTTCTGTATATTTGGAACCAACTTCAATTGGTACAGTTCGAGTTCCAGCTACTCTTTTAAGATATTCTATGTCCTTCCACAATTCTAAAGACTTCCAATGCTTCATAGACCCTAAATAATAATAATTATTTTAAAATAATTTTTTCTTTCAAAAATATAATTAAACTCACTCTTATGAAATCAATAAAATAAATATATAAAATAGTAACAATTTTTTTACACTTGATTTATAACTATATCACCTTTTATTATTGCCGGAACTTTTGGTTGAAAAATATTTTTATAAAATAGTTCCATTGATGGCTGTTCATAATTAGGCACAGACCGAAATTCAGGAAATAATTTAGAGCTAATATCAACATTTTTAATTTCTATCCTCTTGCTGAGATCTTCTTTTGATGAGATTTCTATTTAAAATTTAAAAAATTATTTTAAATTTTCTTTCAAGAAAAATTTCTAACTTTACAAATATAAAATCAAATATACTTATAAAATGACTATTTAATCGTGAGGCAACCAATGTTAACATATCAGGAGAACTTTGAAGTGGCGCTCCTAATAAAATTCCCTTGTCAATTTGTTTTATCATCGTTAATACCATTGACAAATCTGTTTGAATGTTATTTTGAATTTCCAAACAAATGGTCTGTGTAAAAAAAACTTTTCATAATATTTTAATTAACTAATTTTTAAATTTGAAGATCACTGATATTACCTTAAGAATACTGCAAATTGAATATGAATATCTATATTGAATGGGAACATCTTTCCAATAACCAGAATGCAGTGTTTCCCAAATTCGATCCAAACAAGCTTCTATTCGTAATTCCATATTTTTAATTGACTCATTAAAGTCATTCCTGTTTTTTTTTTAAGAAAATTTATATTTTATTTATTTTATTATTGTCAAGCAAAATACGAATTGAAAAAAATTAATAGAATAATAATTTGAATTACTTGTTTTTTTCATGAAAATGACTTAAATTTTCAATTATAGGTACTAATTGTACTTTAATTTCAGCAGGAACATTCTCCGTTGTTTCGATCAATAAATATTTCCAGGAAATTGAATCTGTTGTTAAAAGAGTTTTTCGAAACATTTTTTCTGAAAAGTAAAAAAAATCTTTCAATTTCTATCAAATATGAACTCTATAAATTAATTAATTCCAACTTTTTTTTAATAAACTTCATCAATAATTTAATTATTTAAGCAATTACCAAGTTAAAATTATTGCTCCTAACACATTAATTTTAATTTCCACAAAATTTTTTTATTTATAAAAAAGTTATATTATCAATTTTTTATAAATTTTATTATATTATTAAAAATTTTGATTGCAGCTCTTCGTGATATAAATTACTTCCAAATACGAAGCTGAAGTACGCAACGTTTATATAAACGACTTTTAAAGAAATAATTTTTTAAAATGAAAAATTCTATAATTTTTTGCCTAAAAAATATTTTTTTATAATTTGTTGTTTAATGAAAACTACAAGAAATATTTTTTAGGCAAAAAATTATAGAATTTTTCATTTTAAAAAATTGTTTCTTTAAAAATCGTTTATATAAACGTTGCGTACTTCAGCTTCGTTTCCAAATATAGAAATTAAAGTTTTATAAAAAATTTGTAGTTACCTATAAAGTTTTCTAAACTTTTAAATATTTTATAATTTTCAATTAAAAATCCCATAAAATTTATTCATTTACAAAAAATTTCAATTTAAAATCGCCTGAAATGAAATTATTTTTAAAAATATAACCTTCAAAAATTCAATTATTTTGATACATTTTCAAAAAATTTGTACGCATTTGTGTATTTTCAAGGTAAAAATTGAATTCAAGGAGCTTTTTCTAATTTCACTATACACCTTAAAGTTAAAGGTGGAAAAAAATAAAGGTGCAAAATAAAGCAGTATGCATAATTTTTTTTTATTTAATCAGATATAGGCTGTCTTTTTAGAAAATATAGAAGGCACAAAAAGTTTACTTAAGTAATGCCATTGAACAATGAATTTATCTACAATAGGATACAAAAGTTTACCACTCAATGAAAGTGAATGGACTCTACAAAAACTTTCAATAAAAATAATTTTTACATTAGAAAGAAAACATATTTTTAAAAGAAAAAGAATAACACATATTGGCACACAAGTTCCAGGCCCATTACATAAAATTAGATCTGGATTTTTTGTCCATGCAAATGGAATACAATTTAGGGAGGCGTATACAGTGGTCCAAATTGATGAAATATAAGATTGACCAACTTTTCGACAGCGAAATGTAGAAATTAATTCAAAATCTTTATTATTAACTTCAAGTTTTTTAACTCTTTCCACACTAAGATTGTCATTATCAGCATGAATATAAATCCTTGGTGTATAAAAATTCAAATTCAAATGTTTGACAATCCTCAATATTTCAGTTGTATGTCCTCCTGATCCAAGAACAATAATTGTTTTTACTGGTGCTTTTCGAGATTTTGCAGTTTGGAGTCCATTTTTAAATATGATATAGAAAATTCTTAGCAATACGATGGAAAATAGAATTAAAAGCATTATTTAAGTTAACCAGGTGAATACAACCTTAGTCATTAACCTGGAAGTCAGGAAATAATTTTAATTACTTTTTATGAAAATCGAAAGTTGACTGTAGATTTGTAAAGTAGAATGTACTTTTGAGTACATATATCTCTCATACTTTTTGAATTATTATGAATAAGAAAATATGGTTTTTTGAAAAATAAAAATCCTGATAGGGTGAATTAAATTGAATTTAAATTGTGAATTGAAATTTGATAACCTATGATCCCTTCTAGAGGTGCAAATTTTTAAAACTTTTTACGCATACAGAAAGTAATTGATTTTTTCTATTTTGTTTTTCCCAAATTTCCCTTAAAAAAATGTTTTTTCCTTGACTTCCCGGATTTAAAACATTATTCTTGACTTTTAACTACCCTATCTTAATAATAGTAAAATTCCAGCGTGTAAATATTCTACAAATCAATGTGAAATTTTAGAATTTCTTAAATAAGTAATTCCGAAAATGCAAATTCCCAAAAGAATTTTCATAATTAAAATTTCTTAAAGTTATTAATTTCTCATAATTTTGGAAAAATTGATTTTTAATTTAAAATTCTAGTGAAAGTAATATTTAATTAAAAGTACCTATAGAAATTTTGCTTTATTTTTTTGAAAAACAATTGACATTATTAAAAAAAAACCTAACCAAATTTGAGCCGCTGGATTCTAGAAGGGCACGTAAATTTTTTCGGCCGGAAAACGAAGTCCTCTGGACACTCAAAATTCATTTTTCGAATTTTAATATTTTTCGAGCAAAAAAAAAATTTTTTGACCAAAAAAAATGAAACTTAAAAATAAATTTGTTTTTTTCGAGGTAAAAGGTACGAATTTTGTTTGTTTGTTTTTTTAAATCGAAAGCTGAGGTTTTTTCCTACAAAAATATATATAGTTGAAAAAAATGAGGGGTCAATCCATTATATGTGTCCTGACGCGGTGAAAGGGACCTTATGGTACAATAGCAAATTGTACTTTTGAATGTTCATAATAAAAAATGAATTGAACAAAATAATTTCTAGTTTTTGGAAATGAAAGAGCAACTCAAATAATTTGATTTCCAAAAATTAGAAATTATTTTGTTCAATTCATTTTTTATTATGAACATTTAAAGTACAATTTGCAATTGGACCATAAGGTCCCTTTCACCGCGTCAGGACACATATTTCGAATGAAGTCGTCGCTGACTAATTTTTAAAAATTATAATACTTTGCAGGAATGATTTTGAAGTTATCAAGATCACGAAATGAAAAGAATTTTATTAAAATTTTAATTATTTATTGCAAAATATGAATTTAAAGTATATGAGGTGCTGAAAACTGTCAATTTTTTAGCCATTAGAAAATATGCAAAAATACGTAGAATTTACCATAAAAATAAAATTTTTTTTTGTAATTTACTAAGAATGAATAAATTTATCATTATCAATTGATGTAATTACTTAAATATGTGAAATCTATATTAATAAAATCAGACTTTTGTCTGTACATTGCTTCAAATTAATTTTTTCTTGCATAGTTTATCATTTTAAGTAGTAAAGATAACAAATATGCCAAAAATAAAAATTCTGTCTGTCTGTCTGTCTATCTGTCTGTCTGTCTGTCGTCAATATTTTGTACCGGCACAACTTTAAAACGGCTCAACCGATTGAGGTGAAACTTGGCAGTGTATTCAGTCTTAACGTAACTTAAAATCTTAGCCATATTTGATTAAAAAATATTAACATGAACGAAAGTTATGACATTTTTTCAAAAAATTTTAAAAAATCAAAAAAATGCAAATTTTTTATTTTTTGTCAGATTGATTTGAAACTATTTGTACCTAATTTTTTCACATAAATACAATCAATTTTTTTATTAAATTAAGTAAATAGTGTGAATTTAAAGGTCTAAATCAAATTTTTGAATTTCCAATTTTTTTAATAACATTGTAATATAAGAATTCGTTATGTTCAACTTTTTATAAGTAAAACAATAATGTTTTTAGTCTGTTGGGTATTAAACGCAATCTTAGCTGCACACCAATGAAAAATATTAATTTAAACAAAAATATGACACTTTCAAAAAATTTAAAAAATTTAACATTTTTTATTTTTTGATAATTCTTTACTAAACGTTCTTTATTTAAAATTTTGTGACCAATTAAGTATGCTTTTAACAAGAAATTTTAAGAATTTTATCAGAATTTTAAAATTAATAATTGCAAATCTGAATATGAAATCAGATATTGTAAAAATAAAAAATCGAAAATTCCTTTTTTACTCTTTGAAATTAGCAATTATTATATTTAAATTATTATTATTATTATTGAATATTATTATTATTATTATTATTATTATTATTATTATTATTATTATTATTATTATTATTATTATTATTATAGATACAAATTATTTTTAAATATAATAAAACTAAATAAACTAAATAAACTGAAATATAATATAATAAATATAATAAAATTAAATTATTTTCATAATTACATCCAACTATACGTGTTCTCCTGTATTAAAATATCTTTTTATAAATTTTTAATTATTATTTATTCAATTCAATTTAATTTTTTCACTGCTTTTAATAAAATTAAAATAATTTAAAATTGTATTTAATTTTATAGTATTGATAAGAAATTAATTAAAAATTAATAAAAGAAATTTTTCTATTAAAAATTTATTCTTTAAATAATTTTTAAAGTTTTTTAAAATTTTAATTTAAATTGTATTGATTAAAATAATTTTTATTTTCAATACTATAAAATTAAATACAATTTTAAATTATTTTAATTTTATTAAAAGCAGTGAAAAAATTAAATTGAATTGAATAAATAATAATTAAAAATTTATAAAAAGATATTTTAATACAGGAGAACGCGTATAGTTGGATGTAATTATAAATTTCAAAATTTATTAAATCTAAATATTATAACCGTCGAAGACGGGTGCGACAGCTAGTAATATATAAAATATGATTTTCAAGTTCGCCTGTCAAATAACCTAAATTTGCAAATTTCATCTATTAAATGTGAGAAAGAGAAGTCATTAAATTGAAAAAAACCTTACCAAATATAAAGTACCTGTGACTAACTTTTAGTTTTTCTTAGCACTTTTTTCCTTTTTTCTTCATAAATATGAAATAAAAAGCAATAAAAATTGGCACTTTGCTTATTTTCACTATTTTCAAATGTAAATAACTTTCTTGGAGAAAACTGAAAAATTACAAAACTTGGGCAATATCTAATTGATCACTAACTACACACACTGGAAAAAAATTCGCTTTGGTCCCGAAGATACTTTTTGAGATAATTAAGTTTAAACTTTTCACAATTTTTATCAGGTTATACATGTAGTTTTTTAAGGACGAAGTTAGGTTTTATTGGTTAAACATTTTGAACTAACTTCAATTTTATAAAAATCACATGCATTAACCTGATAAAAATTGTGAAAAATTTAAACATAATTATCTCAAAAAGTATCTTCGGGACCAAAGCGAATTTTTTTCCAGTGTGTGTAGTTAGTGATCAATTAGATATTGCCCAAGTTTTGTAATTTTTCAGTTTTCTCCAAGAAAGTTATTTACATTTGAAAATAGTGAAAATAAGCAAAGTGCCAATTTTTATTGCTTTTTATTTCATATTTATGAAGAAAAAAGGAAAAAAGTGCTAAGAAAAACTAAAAGTTAGTCACAGGTACTTATATTTGGTAAGGTTTTTTTCAATTTAATGACTTCTCTGTCTCACATTTAATAGATGAAATTTGCAAATTTAGGTTATTTGACAGGCGAACTTGAAAATCGTATTTTATATATTATTTCACATATTTAAATAATTATATCAATTGATAATGATAAATTTATTCATTCTTAGTAAATTACAAAAAAAATTTTTTTTATTTTTATGGTAAATTCTGTTTTTTTTGCATATTTTCTAATGGCTAAAAAATTGACAGTTTTCAGCACCTCATAAACTTTAAATTCATATTTTGCAATAAATAATTAAAATTTTAATAAAATTCTTTTCATTTCGTGATCTTGATAACTTCAAAATCATTCCTGCAAAGTATTATAATTTTTAAAAATTAGTCAGCGACGACTTCATTCGAAATATAATGGATTGACCCTAAGACAAGAATGTTTAAATATTGAAAAATAGTAAAAAATGATTAAAAATGGTCGAAAAAAGCAAGAAACGTTAATTATCAATATTTAAACATTCTTGTTCCATTTTTTCTACAATATATATTTTTGTAGGAAAAAACTTAGCTTTCGATTATAAAAAAAAACAATGAAAATCGTATCTTTTTTTTTGCTACGTAATAATACAATCGAGCTTATTATGGTAGCAAACACATGCCAAACGTTCAGCAGCTCGCGCAACTTCAAAGTTTAAACATTCACCATTTTGTTATTAATTGTTCAATTGCATTCTAACTTTCCAGAAAACTTCTTTAAACCTTAATGAACAACTTTCTCATTGGAAGTTTGTTGCTGCTGAAAATTTGTGAAACTTCCCCGCATTGAGAAAATTGCACTTCACGAATTTTGCAATGTCTCATTAAAAAATTAATAACTTTTTTATTTTTATTTCAAACAACTTTTTTCTTTTTTAATCACTCGTAGAATATAATAACACGTATTTTCGTTTTTGTTTTATTGAGAAATTCGTAAAATTGTCTGAGCTGTCGCGAGTTGAAGTCAAAAAAACAATGAAAATTTTCTTTTTTAAAAAAACAGTTTTTTTTCTTATATTTTGAAAACGGTAAAGATGGAAAATTTCTTATTAAGAAAAAAGATGCGCAATCGAATTCTGTATAAGAATATACTCGAAAAATATTAAAATTCGAAAAACAAATTTTGAGTGTCCAGGGGACTTCGTTTTCCGGCCGAAAAAATTTATGTGCCCTTCTAGAATCCAGCGGCTCATTTATAGCTTACTATTTTTTAAAAAATTCGTTTTAATTTTATATTTAAATTATGTACAATAATATAATAATAGAAAATAAATGGGGGATAACACGTGAAGTGATCAGGGTTCAAAAAATTTTTTTCTTCGATCACCCTTAAACTCGGGGCATTTGTAGTACTCAGAGATGTTAATCTTTGGTAAAAATATTTTTTCACTTAGTCCAATATTTTTCGAGAGGGAGGGGGTGAAAGTTTTAAGGTTTTATGGTTCACCTATGTTTTAATAATTTTTTTTTCTTAAATATCAAAATAAAAAATGTTTATCAATATCAGTTTCGAAAGCATTTTTGATGTTCTTTCGATTGGTAATATGCATTTTTGTCCAAAAAAAATGAAACTCAAAAATAAATTTGACTTTTTCGGGGTAAAAGGTACGATTTTGTTTGTTTTTTTTATAATCGAAAGCTAAGTTTTTTCCTACAAAAATATATATAGTTGAAAAAATGGAACAAGAATGTTTAAATATTTATAATTAACGTTTTTTGCTTTTTCGACCATTTTTAATCATTTTTTACTATTTTTCAATATTTAAACATTCTTGTCTCATTTTTTTCAACTATATATATTTTTGTAGGAAAAAACCTCAGCTTACGATTTAAAAAAAAAACAAACAAAAATCGTACATTTTACCTCGAAAAAGTCAAATTTATTTTTAAGTTTCATTTTTTTTGGTCAAAAATTTTTTTTTTTGAAAAATGCATATTACCAATCGAAAGAGTATCAAAAAAGCTTTCGAAACGATAATTATCCGACGTTGTATCGTTAATATTCTAACAAATGTTAAAATAATTTAAATTTCATTATTATACCGGAGTAAGAATTCTCGAAGTGGGCCCCTAAATTTTTTTTGGATCGATAAATTTTTTTCATTTTTATATCTCGATAGTCTGCGATGGTATAATAAATATCTATAAATAGTTTTCCGAAATTCGAATATTTGCAAAAGTTATTAACGGTAAAAGTTTTTTTGTAGAATTTTAGTAAATAGATATTTATTCGCGATTGAATGAACCGATTTTAATAAAAACTGAAAGAAAGCTTAATGAAGAATCGTACTTGAGATAAATGATAAAAAATTTATTTAAAAAATATAATTGGTTTAAATAAATAAATTTTTAAATTTTTTGAGGTTAAAAAAATGTGTTCATCTATTTAATGTGTTTAAAAATGTGATTTTTGGATTTCTGATGTTAAAAAAACGTATATGTGAAAAAGTTGAATTTGAAAATTTTTGATATTAAAAGCAAAATTCAAATTTTCTTATATATATTTCAAATAGAATCATTAACATAACCTCTTTGTTTAATCGAATTATGTCAAATATTTTAATTAATGTTAATGTAATATTAAATACAATTTAAATTAAATTTTTGTATAAAATTAACACGTTGTTGTATGATTTTTTTTTTAAATATCACAGGATGATTATTTGAAAATTACACATATTTTTGGTAAAATTAATGAAAAATATGGTTATGTTACAATGAATGAAATTATTAAATTTCCTTACAATGAGTGATATTCATACGATCGTCCTTTGAATATTTTACACATTAATATTGAAAAATTCCATCACTTTCAGTAAAAATTTCTTACAATGTTGGAATATACAATATTTTTTATATAATAACTAATTATGTACATACAGATTGTGCCAAATGTCAATCTCAGAAAAATAAACAAACGTGCGTTGTGAATTAGCAAGGTTATGTTATATAGAGTAGAAAATCTGAAATATGAAAATTTGTTGAGAAAGTTACCTTAAGGGACTGTCACAACTTGTTTTATTTGGAAAAACAATTCTCATCTTTGCTCATCATGATGTATATACCCACAAAGAGAAAATTTGATAGAATACATTATTCCTAACATTTAACATGAGGTAGAGAAAATGATGGAAAATAGTTCTGTCCTATTCTTTTTTCTACTTATTTCTTACGTATTACGACTGACGTATTACGTATATCAACTGTATGTAACTTTCTGAATTACACAACTTCCGAACTCTGGTTAGGAGGTGAAAAAAGGGGTTGTTTCATTCAATAGACGTTTTACATTTTGGATGTTCTAATATAAACTACTAGAATTTCAGAAATATTTATTTATTAAAAAATTAAGTAAATTTGCCAGGAATGTTCACTAAGGTACGTTGTGTAAAATTCTTTATTTTATCTGAGTTTAAAGAATAGTATTTACATTTTGAAAGATAATTTCTGCTTCTGACAATAATGACCTCCAGATAAATAGTAAATTTTCTAGGAAGTAACTATTTTGACAGATAGACAATATAAACGATTTTTTATTTTACAACAGTAAATAGTGTAATGGTAAAAATTACAATTGTTTTGCTTAGAAATGAAAATAAATGTCACAGGTTATAAAGGATCGAATTAAAACGTAAATAGTTTATTTCATTTAAATTTTAAAATTCTAATAATTTTCTATTTGAAAAGATTTTAAACACAGAAATTTTTATTTCATAGTATAGCAGAGGGTTTAGTTACTCTTTCTGAAATTTTTTTTTTTATTTCCAATCACAACAAACGGATTCTTAAATTGAGGGGAAAATAGGATATGTTTATTTTGTTAAAGATTAGTCGCAATATCCATTGATTTTTGTCAAAAGGCAATCGTGGATATAATTTAAAAACTCATTTATAAAAATATATTAAAACCGATAATTTTTTTTAGTATATTAATCGCAATGTTATGTCTCAAATTTGATTTTGAATCAAAATTAATAATTAAGAGTATAATGAATCTGACGTTACTTTATAACCTCTATTATTTTGCAATTGCACTAAGTATGAAAAATCTTTCTTGTAATTTAACTTCATTTGTCACTTTGTTATATGTAAAGATTACATTGTTTTAAAAAATTTGCCCGTTTCACATTACAGTAATTATTTAGAGATAAAGTGGATAAATTAAAAATTTTAAATAATTAATATGTGAATCAGAATTTCTGAAATGGATCACCTAAAATTTTTAGCAAATAATTTCTAATGTTACATGGTTTTTTTTACTTCTACTATGATCAAAATAAGTTTCTGAAAATATTTTTTTTTAGTAAAGTTATAAACAATTAAAATTTTTAGCTGTCTTAAATAAAAAAAAATTTTATTTTAAACAATTTTTTAAATTGTTTATTTACAAAATGCTAATAATATTTATGTTCTTTATGTCCTAGGTAAAATTTAAAAGTTGTTTTATATTCCGCATCCATTTCTTAATATAAAATCGTCAAGAAAAAAATGGCAATCCAACCTGACTTGGATTGATTGATAAATTTCATCACATTGAAATAATTAATATTAATTTAAACAAATGATTATTGTTAAAAAAAATTTTTCTAATTGAGTGATTTTTTTTACTAATTCTAAAGCAAGTTATAGCAAATATTCATGAAATTCCTTGTACAAAGGTTTTTAATTTTTTATTTCTCCTTCTGTTCATTTGAAAATCATTTTTATATCGGTATCAAGATTCGAAATTAAAATTTTATTATGATTATTTGACAAAAATTATATTTATAATGCGCTGTATAATCTAAACTTAATTTTAATTAATTATTAGATCAAAGATGGAAGGAGGATGTAAGAAAGACGAAGATGTTACTGATATTCCTAGTTCCAGTGAAAGAAATGAAAATATAGATTCAATCCAGGTATAAAATTTTCTTTAAATATTTACTTCTTGTTAAACTGTTTTCATGTAATAAATATATATGCAAATATAAACATAAATAAATTAAAAAAATATGAATATTATATTCTTTAACCATAAAAATAACAAACCACACTTTCATAAATCGTTATTCTATTGTTTTAAATTTTTTAGGTGGACAATTCCCGAACTGTTTTGCTAAAAATAGCGACACTGTACGCTGAACGTCTTATGAATGATATTTGCCTCGTTGTAGATGGTGTCGAGTATCCAGCACACCGACTTATCCTTTGTGCTTCTAGCGATGTGTTTCAGGTAATAAGATTTTATATTCAATGAATAAAATTCAATTCGATTTTCATAGTCATACAAATTTTACAAGAATAATCATAAAATACCATCCAGATAGCACGTCAAAATTTGTGGAAAGCTTACCACAAGCTAAAATGTACTTTTGGTTCTTTAACATCTAATGAAATTTATATTTTCGCCTAGACATCCATATATTATTATTAATAATAAATAAATTCACTATAGTGAAATTTTCAGCCAGTATGAAATGCAACTCGCAATATTTTTATTGCATTTTAATAATAAATATAATATAATAAACTTTTTTTCCAAAATTTTCATTTTTTAAACTTTTTATTATGTTTGCTATATTTTTCTTGTACCGTCAAAGCGGGTAACTTCGAACTGGAGGCTAACTCTGGACACTCGTACTTTTTTGAAAATATTTTGTATTTCCCTTCTACATAATAGTTTTCATAAGGAGTTAGCATTTCTTTTATTTCATTGAACACCCAAGAAATATAATGTGAGAGATTAAGGATAAAAGTAATCAAAGAAATTCAAGAAAAAATTAATTTGGTAGGAATAAATTTTTGAAGGTTTTTTTTTAGTAATTGAGGAACCACATGCAAGAACGGACGAGGCGCTTGGACTGAACACCGAGCGCCTCTACCGTTTTTGCATGTGGCCCCTCAAATGTGTTTTATTTAAGAAAATGTAATTTTGTAGGGTAACTTCGGACATGGGACGAATATGTAACGTAGTTGGAAAAAGTCGCAATTACTGCTATTATTTGGAAAGCACAATTTAAAAAGCCCTTTCGGAGGTTAGGAGAAATTAAGCATTCGAAAAGCATTTGAAAAATACAATGTACCCAAAAATACATTGAGCGATCACTTGAAAATTCAAATGTACCATTAATTGATTTTAGAGAAAATAATTAATGACCTCAAAACTCCTTAGGGAAGCTGGAAATTATCATTTAATTAAATTTAAATAATTGAGAAATTTGCTAAACGAGTGAAACTAGCTCCAAATTGCTATTATAAAACCTTCAACGATTATTATTGGTCATATTTCAAAATTCAATTTCGCGAAACGTCTTTTCCAGAAATTAAAATTTCCCGAATGTCTAAATTCCCGAAAACCTTTCTCCCGAAATTTTTTTAATTAATAAATGAATGTATTATTGTAATGAAAAAATATTACAAAAATAACAAACCTGGATATAAAATAATAATTGAAACTTTTGTAATAGAAATTCTGGTTTACCAAATTTCTCAATTTTTTGAATTTAATTAAATGATAATTAATTGTTTCCCCATGGAGTTTTTGAGGTCATCAATTTTTTCACATATTTACATGTGTGTACAATTGATTTATACGGTTTTTGGATTTTTAGAATTTTCAAAAGATGCTAAAATATTTAATTAACGAAAATTTTCTTCAAAACCCATATAAAATCAATGTTAAAATGTAAGCCGCAACAAACACACTTTCTTATGAAGATAGTGGGTTCAATTTTATGAGAATTTTTTTTAAATTTTCTATCGAATTAGAGGGTGGAATGAATCGAATTAAAAAATGAGGGTCAATCCATTATATTTCGACTGAAGTCGTCGCTGACTAATTTTTAAAAATTATAATACTTTGCAGGAATGATTTTGAAGTTATCAAGATCAATTTTTTAGCCATTAGAAAATATGCAAAAAAAAACAGAATTTACCATAAAAATAAAAAAAAATTGTTGTAATTTACTAAGAATGAATAAATTTATCATTATCAATTGATATAATTATTTAAATATGTGAAATAATATATAAAATACGATTTTCAAGTTCGCCTGTCAAATAACCTAAATTTGCAAATTTCATCTATTAAATGTGAGACAGAGAAGTCATTAAATTGAAAAAAACCTTACCAAATATAAGTACCTGTGACTAACTTTTAGTTTTTCTTAGCACTTTTTTCCTTTTTTCTTCATAAATATGAAATAAAAAGCAATAAAAATTGGCACTTTGCTTATTTTCACTATTTTCAAATGTAAATAACTTTCTTGGAGAAAACTGAAAAATTACAAAACTTGGGCAATATCTAATTGATCACTAACTACACACACTGGAAAAAAATTCGCTTTGGTCCCGAAGATACTTTTTGAGATAATTATGTTTAAATTTTTCACAATTTTTATCAGGTTAATGCATGTGATTTTTATAAAATTGAAGTTAGTTCAAAATGTTTAACCAATAAAACCTAACTTCGTCCTTAAAAAACTACATGTATAACCTGATAAAAATTGTGAAAAGTTTAAACTTAATTATCTCAAAAAGTATCTTCGGGACCAAAGCGAATTTTTTTCCAGTGTGTGTAGTTAGTGATCAATTAGATATTGCCCAAGTTTTGTAATTTTTCAGTTTTCTCCAAGAAAGTTATTTACATTTGAAAATAGTGAAAATAAGCAAAGTGCCAATTTTTATTGCTTTTTATTTCATATTTATGAAGAAAAAAGGAAAAAAGTGCTAAGAAAAACTAAAAGTTAGTCACAGGTACTTTATATTTGGTAAGGTTTTTTTCAATTTAATGACTTCTCTTTCTCACATTTAATAGATGAAATTTGCAAATTTAGGTTATTTGACAGGCGAACTTGAAAATCATATTTTATATATTATTTCACATATTTAAATAATTACATCAATTGATAATGATAAATTTATTCATTCTTAGTAAATTACAAAAAAAATTTTTTTTATTTTTATGGTAAATTCTGTTTTTTTTGCATATTTTCTAATGGCTAAAAAATTGACAGTTTTCAGCACCTCATATACTTTAAATTCATATTTTGCAAAAAATAATTAAAATTTTAATAAAATTCTTTTCATTTCGTGATCTTGATAACTTCAAAATCATTCCTGCAAAGTATTATAATTTTTAAAAATTAGCCAGCGACGACTTCATTCGAAATATAATGGATTGACCCATGACCATTTTAACGGTCGCCCTAATGTATACAAATTTGAAGTCATATAGATCGAATTTTGTGAGCGCTAGGGTGAAACAAAACCGATATTAATTGGATTCCGAACCGTGTGCGGAACACTAAAATTAGTTAAAAATTAAGAAAATCAATTCCTGTACATCAAATACGAATTAAAAGTTTATATATAACAATAATTGACAAATTAATACATTGTTAATTATTTTTAATAATATTAATACTATAATTAAAGTTATTTATTTAGTAATAAATAAAATTTTAATTAACTTTCAGTACTTAATAGTTGATAAAGACTAAACATTAAATGAAGGTTCAAGTGCAGGCATGGAAACATTTAAATGATATGCTCAGTAAATGTTACATTAACAAACAAATATTCGCAATAAATAATGGTTTGGAACGAAGGTTGAATTAACATTTGAATTAACTGTTTAGAGCGAATACAGACTAAACATTAAGAATAAGTGCTCGTTAAATATTTAGCGATAATATTTATGTAACAAAAAGAGTCAGCACTGATATTTTTTTATAAAAAATTATTTATATTTAAACATACATTGCGCACCAAATATCGGAGGCCAAAAAAATTTATTGTGCAGCCGTAGATGCTTTACATTAAAATTGCACATCGTTTTAAGCTATTTTTTCTGCCTAACATTTAACAAATATTTATTATTTAAATGTTCAGTCAACCTTCTAGATAAACATTTGACGAACATTTACATTGCCTAATCCTTTGCCTGATTCATTAACAAAATCAATGCCTATTTCATAGTATCTTCCATTATCTAATCCACTGTTTCTTCTAATGAAATTTTCATTGCCTATTCAACTATATATTTCATTACCTAATCCACTGTCTGTTCTATTGCCTAAATTACTGTCTGTTTCAAAGTTTGTTAAATTAAATCCACTGCCTATTCCAGTGTAGTTATGAATGCCTATTCCACTGTATATTTCATTGCCTAATCCTCCGTATGTACCATTGCCTAAATCACTGCCGATTTCAAAGTTTGTGAAATTAAAAAATCCATTTCCTATTCCAGTGTAGTTATAATTGCCTAATCCAATGTATATTTTATTGTCTAATCCTCTGTATGTACCATTGTTAATTCCACTATTTATTTCGTTGCTTAATGCTCTAATTCTTTCATTTCCAAAGTCACTGCCTGTTTTTAAGTCTGTTGTATTATATAATCCATTGCCTATTCCAGTGTAGATTTCATTACCCAACCCTCTGTCGGTTCCTTTGCTTAAATCATTGCCTGTTTTTAAGTCTGTTCTATTAAAAAATTCATTTGTTACTATTCCATTATAGATTTCATTGCCTAATCCTCTGTATGTTCCATTGTCAAATTGTCTTCCTGTTTCAATGACTGTTCCATTATCTAATGGATTGCTTATTCGAGTGTTAGTTTCATTGCCTACTCCACTGTAGATTTCATTACCAAATTCTTGGACTGTTCCATTTACTAAATCATTGCCTGTTTTATAGTTAGTTCTGTTATATAATCCATTGCCTATTCCAATGTTGATTTTATTGCCTAATCCTGTGTATATTCTATTGCCTAATTGTCTGCCTGTTTCAATGTTTTTTCCATTATCTAATGGATTGCCTATTCCAATGTTATTTTTATTATCCACTCCACTGTAGATTTCATTACCAAATTCTCTGTCTGTTTCACTGTCTGTACCATTATCTAATAGATTGCCTATTTCAGTGTTGATTTTATTGCCTAATACTGTGTATATTCCATTGCCTAATTGTCTTCCTGTTTCAATGACTGTTCCATTATCTAATCGATTGCTTATTCCAGTGTTAGTGTCATTGCCTACTCCACCGTAGATTTCCTTACCAAATTCTTGGACAGTTCCATTTCCTAAATCACTGCCTGTTTTATAGTCAGTTCTGTTATATAATCCATTGCCTATTCCAGTGTTGATTTTATTGTGTATTCCTGTGTAAATTCCATTGCCAAATTGTCTCCGTGTTTCAATGTCTATTCCATTATCTAATGAATTGCCTATTCCAATGTTAGTTTTATTATGCACTCCACTGTAAACTTCATTACCAAATTCTCTGTCTGTTTCAATGTCTGTACCATTATCTAATGGATTGCCTATTTCAGTGTTGATTTTATTGCCTAATCCCGTGTATGTTTCATTGCCTACTTGTCTTCCTGTTTCAGTGACTGTTCCATTATCTAATGGATTGCTTATTCCAGTGTTAGTTTCATTGCCTACTCCACTGTAGATTTCTTTACCAAATTCTCTGCCTGTTTCAATGTCTGTTCCATTATCTAATGGATTGCCTATTTCAGTGTTGATTTTATTGCCTAATCCTGTGTATATTCGATTGCCTATTTGTTTGCCTGTTTCAATGTCTCTTCCATTATCTAATGGATTGCCAATTCTAATGTTGATATCATTGCCTAATCCAGTGTATATTCTATTGTCTATTTGTCTGCCTGTTTCAATGTCTATTCCATTATCTAATGGATTGCTTAATCCAGTGTTAGTGTCCTTGCCTACTCCACTGTAGATTTCATTACCAAATTCTTGGACTGTTCCATTTCCTAAATCACTGCCTTTTTTATAGTCACTTCTTTTATATAATCCATTGCCTAATCCAGTGTTGATTTTATTGCGTAATCCTGTGTAAATTCCATTGCCAAATTGTTTGCCTGTTTCAATGTCTGTTCCATTTTTTAATGGATTGCTTGATCCAGTGTTAGTGTCATTGCCTACTCCACTGTAGATTTCATTACCAAATTCTTGGACTGTTCCATTTCCTAAATCACTGCCTGTTTTATAGTCAGTTATGTTATAGAATCCATTGCCTATTCCAGTGTTGATTTTATTGCGTAAACCTGTGTAAATTCCATTGTCAAATTGTCTGCCTGTTCCAATGTCTGTACCATTATCTAATGGATTGCCTATTTTAGTGTTGATTTTATTGCCTATTCCTGTGTATATTCCATTGCCTAATTGTCTTCCTGTTTCAAAGTCTGTTCCATTATCTAATGGATTGCTTAATTCAGTGTTAGTGTCATTGCCTACTCCACTGTAGATTTCATTACCAAATTCTTGGACTGTTCCATTTCCTAAATCACTGCCTTTTTTATGGTCACTTCTTTTATATAATCCATTGCCTAATCCAGTCTTGATTTTATTGCGTAATCCTGTGTAAATTCCATTGTCAAATTGTCTGCCTGTTCCAATGTCTGTACCATTATCTAATAGATTGCCTATTTCAGTGTTGATTTTATTGCCTAATACTGTGTATATTCCATTGCCTAATTGTCTTCCTGTTTCAATGACTGTTCCATTATCTAATCGATTGCTTATTCCAGTGTTAGTGTCATTGCCTACTCCACCGTAGATTTCCTTACCAAATTCTTGGACAGTTCCATTTCCTAAATCACTGCCTGTTTTATAGTCAGTTCTGTTATATAATCCATTGCCTATTCCAGTGTTGATTTTATTGTGTATTCCTGTGTAAATTCCATTGCCAAATTGTCTCCGTGTTTCAATGTCTATTCCATTATCTAATGGATTGCCTATTCCAATGTTAGTTTTATTATGCACTCCACTGTAAACTTCATTACCAAATTCTCTGTCTGTTTCAATGTCTGTACCATTATCTAATGGATTGCCTATTTCAGTGTTGATTTTATTGCCTAATCCCGTGTATGTTTCATTGCCTACTTGTCTTCCTGTTTCAGTGACTGTTCCATTATCTAATGGATTGCTTATTCCAGTGTTAGTTTCATTGCCTACTCCACTGTAGATTTCTTTACCAAATTCTCTGCCTGTTTCAATGTCTGTTCCATTATCTAATGGATTGCCTATTTCAGTGTTGATTTTATTGCCTAATCCTGTGTATATTCGATTGCCTATTTGTTTGCCTGTTTCAATGTCTCTTCCATTATCTAATGGATTGCCAATTCCAATGTTGATATCATTGCCTAATCCAGTGTATATTCTATTGTCTATTTGTCTGCCTGTTTCAATGTCTATTCCATTATCTAATGGATTGCTTAATCCAGTGTTAGTGTCCTTGCCTACTCCACTGTAGATTTCATTACCAAATTCTTGGACTGTTCCATTTCCTAAATCACTGCCTTTTTTATAGTCACTTCTTTTATATAATCCATTGCCTAATCCAGTGTTGATTTTATTGCGTAATCCTGTGTAAATTCCATTGCCAAATTGTTTGCCTGTTTCAATGTCTGTTCCATTTTTTAATGGATTGCTTGATCCAGTGTTAGTGTCATTGCCTACTCCACTGTAGATTTCATTACCAAATTCTTGGACTGTTCCATTTCCTAAATCACTGCCTGTTTTATAGTCAGTTATGTTATAGAATCCATTGCCTATTCCAGTGTTGATTTTATTGCGTAAACCTGTGTAAATTCCATTGTCAAATTGTCTGCCTGTTCCAATGTCTGTACCATTATCTAATGGATTGCCTATTTTAGTGTTGATTTTATTGCCTATTCCTGTGTATATTCCATTGCCTAATTGTCTTCCTGTTTCAAAGTTTGTTCCATTATCTAATGGATTGCTTAATTCAGTGTTAGTGTCATTGCCTACTCCACTGTAGATTTCATTACCAAATTCTTGGACTGTTCCATTTCCTAAATCACTGCCTTTTTTATGGTCACTTCTTTTATATAATCCATTGCCTAATCCAGTCTTGATTTTATTGCGTAATCCTGTGTAAATTCCATTGCCAAATTGTTTGCCTGCTTCAATGTCTGTTCTATTTTCTAATGGATTGCTTAATCCAGTGTTAGTGTCATTGCCTACTCCACTGTAAATTTTATTACCAAATTCTGGGACTGTTCCATTTCCTAAATTACTGCCTTTTTTATAGTCACTTCTTTTATATAATCCATTGCCTAGTTCAGTGTTGATTTTATTGCGTAATCCTGTGTAAATTCCATTGCCAAATTGTTTGCCAGTTTCAATGTCTGTTCTATTTTCTAATGGATTGCTTAATCCAGTGTTAGTGTCATTGCCTACTCCACTGTAGATTTCATTACCAAATTCTTGGACTGATCCATTTCCTAAATCACTGCCTGTTTTATAGTCAGTTCTGTTATATAACCTATCGCCTAATCCAGTGTTGATTTTATTGCGTAATCCTGTGTAAATTCCTTTGCCAAATTGTTTGCCTGTTTCAATGTCTGTTCTATTTTCTAATGGATTGCTTAATCCAGTGTTAGTGTCATTGCCTACTCCACTGTAGATTTCATTACCAAATTCGTGTACTATTCCATTTCCTAAATCACTGCCTGTTTTATAGTCAGTTCTGTTATAGAATCCATTGCCTATTCCAGTGTTGATTTTATTGCGTAAACCTGTGTAAATTCCATTGCCAAATTGTTTGCCTGTTTCAATGTCTGTTCTATTTTCTAATGGATTGCTTAATCCAGTGTTAGTGTCATTGCCTACTCCACTGTAGATTTTATTACCAAATTCTCTGTCTGTTTCAATGTCTGTACCATTATCTAATGGATTGCCTATTTCAGTGTTGATTTTATTGCCTAATCCTGTGTATATTCGATTGCCTATTTGTTTGCCTGTTTTAATGTCTGTTCCATTATCTAATGGATTGCTTAATCCAGTGTTAGTGTCATTGCCTACTCCACTGTAGATTTCATTACCAAATTCTTGGACTGTTCCATTTCCTAAATCACTGCCTGTTTTATAGTCAGTTATGTTATAGAATCCATTGCCTATTCCAGTGTTGATTTTATTGCGTAAACCTGTGTAATTTCCATTGTCAAATTGTCTGCCTGTTCCAATGTCTGTACCATTATCTAATGGATTGCCTATTTTAGTGTTGATTTTATTGCCTATTCCTGTGTATATTCCATTGCCTAATTGTCTTCCTGTTTCAAAGTCTGTTCCATTATCTAATGGATTGCTTAATTCAGTGTTAGTTTCATTGCCTACTCCACTGTAGATTTCATTACCAAATTCTTGGACTGTTCCATTTCCTAAATCACTGCCTTTTTTATGGTCACTTCTTTTATATAATCCATTGCCTAGTCCAGTGTTGATTTTATTGCGTAATCCTGTGTAAATTCCATTGCCAAATTGTTTGCCTGTTTCAATGTCTGTTCTATTTTCTAATGGATTGCTTAATCCAGTGTTAGTGTCATTGCCTACTCCACTGTAGATTTTATTACCAAATTCTTGGACTGATCCATTTCCTAAATCACTGCCTGTTTTATAGTCAGTTCTGTTATAGAATCCATTGCCTATTCCAGTGTTGACTTTATTGCGTAATCCTGTGTAAATTCCATTGCCAAATTGTTTGCCTGTTTCAATGTCTGTTCTATTTTCTAATGGATTGCTTAATCCAGTGTTAGTGTCATTGCCTACTTCACTGTAGATTTTATTACCAAATTCTAGGACTGTTCCATTTCCTAAATTACTGCCTTCTTTATAGTCACTTCTTTTATATAATCCATTGCCTAATCCAGTGTTGATTTTATTGCGTAATCCTGTGTAAATTCCTTTGCCAAATTGTTTGCCTGTTTCAATGTCTGTTCTGTTTTCTAATGGATTGCTTAATCCAGTGTTTGCGTCATTGCCTACTCCACTGTAGATTTCATTACCAAATTCTTGGATTGTTCCATTTCCTAAATCACTGCCTGTTTTATAGTCAGTTTTGTTATATAATCCATTGCCTATTCCAGTGTTGACTTTATTGCGTAATCCTGTGTAAATTCCTTTGCCAAATTGTTTGCCTGTTTCAATGTCTGTTCTATTTTCTAATGGATTGCTTAATCCAGTGTTAGTGTCATTGCCTACTCCACTGTAGATTTCATTACCAAATTCTTGGACTGATCCATTTCCTAAATCACTGCCTGTTTTATAGTCAGTTCTGTTATAGAATCCATTGCCTATTCCAGTGTTGATTTTATTGCGTAAACCTGTGTAAATTCCATTGTCAAATTCTCTGCCTGTTTCAATGTCTGTTCCATTATCTAATGGATTGCCTATTCCAATGTTGTTTTTATTGCCTAATCCTGTGTCTATTCCATTGCCTAATTGTCTGCCTGTTTCAATGTTTTTTCCATTATCTAATGGATTGCCTATTCCAATGTTATTTTTATTATCCACTCCACTGTAGATTTCATTACCAAATTTTCTGTCTGTTTCAATATCTGTACCATTATCTAATGGATTGCCTATTTCAGTGTTGATTTTATTGCCTAATCCTGTGTATATTCGATTGCCTGTTTTAATGTCTCTTCCATTATCTAATGGATTGCGTAATCCTGTGTTAGTGTCATTGCCTACTCGACTGTAGATTTCATTACCAAGTTCATGGACTGTTCCAATGCCTAAATCACTGCCCGTTTTATAGTCAGTTCTGTTATATAATCCATCGCCTATTCCAATGTTGATTTCATTGCCTAATCCTGTGTATATTCCATTGCCTAATCGTCTTTCTGTTTCAATGACTGTTCCATTATTTAATGAACTGCTTAATCCACCGTTAGTTTCATTGTCTACTCCACTGTAGATTTCATTACCAAATTCTTGGACTGTTCCATTGCCTAAATCAATTTCTGTTTTATAGTCAGTTCTGTTATATAATCCATTGCGTATTTTATTGTTTTTATTATCAGTAGCTGTGGGTAAATCATTCCAAGTTTTGTTCTGCAATAATATATGGATAAAATTAAATTTATAGTTTGAAGGTGTCACACAATTATCTGAGAACAATATGTCTTTAAATTTTTTTAACAACTTTTAAACTGTTTTTAAAATAATTTAAATTTTCAGAGAAAGTTATAATTTTCAATCTATTTAATGATTTAAAAACTGTAGTGCAAAAAAAATTGCATCTACAATGAATGTTTTTCATCTTTCAACGTCATTATATTTTTATTACAAAAAAATAAAAATCCAAGGATAAAATTTTTTCATAATCTTTCTAATAATGGCAGAATATTTTTTTCTATTTTTAATGAGTTTAAAACTTTTCTTTCTTGAAAAAAGTAAAATATAGTTAAAATAATATTTTTTGATATTTTTTAGTAAGTTTTTAAACTTTTTTTCCGATAATAAATATTTTCAGGCAAAAATAATTACTTTTTAATCTATTTAACGATTTGAAAACTTTAGTAGCAAAGAAAACAATTGCCGGCAACAATAAAGGTTTATATTTTTATTACAAATAATTAAAAAAAACCAAGGACAGCAATGTTTCATAATCGTTAAAATAATGGCAAAATAATTTTTTTCCTTTTTTTAACGAGTTTAAAACTTTTCTATTTAAAAAAAAGAAAATACAGTCAAAATAATATTTCTTTAAATTGTTTTAACGAGTTTTGAAACTTTTTTCAGATATTTACTAATTTTCTTTAGACAAAATAAAAGAGGAAATACATTTCAAATTTTCAAATCAAGCAGGCTTGACTTGGTCCTCTCTTAATTTGAATCAGTGAAAATTTCTTTGTTTTTAAATCAGTAACCGACTTCTGGCTACCTAATCAGTGAAATTCCACTGCTTTTTAGTGAGAAAAGAGAAGTGCATGTTTATATGAATTAATTGACAGAGAAAATATGTCAATGTATTTTTAATGTTGAAAGAAATAATTTTATATATTTATATATTTTTTTCGAGAAATTAATTTTTTAACTCAGAACATTACACGTAAAATGCCTCATATATATCTAAAGGGTATAGGGGGTTAAGGATACAAAAAGTGCCGTTGCAGGTATTCTGTTCAAATTGACACCATATATTGCTACCCCTATAAATATAAAATTCTGCAAGTATGAACCCATAATTCGAATTTTTGGGGGAGTTATGGTGGGGGAAAGGAAAATAAAGAAATCCACTTTTCTCGAAAACTACTGAACCGATTTTAATGAGCTTTGAATATGTTATACATGTCGCTAAGACAATTCTAAAAAAAAATCTCCAAATTTTTTTTTGAAAAAAAGTCAAAAAAAATTAATTTTGAAATTTTCAAAAATTTTTTTTGGGGTGATTTTTTGAAGTGACCACTTTAATTTTTTTTTAAAAGTTACCTTATAATATCCCCTTTAACATATATTTTTTTCAGATTTTTAAAAAATGTAGTTTTTGAATAATTTAACGAAAACCATCGTCGCGCTACATGACGCAGCGCGCACAGTGTGCTGATGCAGTATACAGGGTATTCCAAAAGTATGGAAACTCAAATATCTCGAAAAGTACGAATTTTTGTAAAAATTGTTCAAGACAAAAGTTGTTCCAAACAAAAAGATGTACATCTTTGAAACCAAAAAATTGGGCCCGGAGCCCAATAATGAAAAAAGTGGTTTTCTTAAATGAGACCACTAATTTTCAGTATCAAATTCGTAATCCCCATGAAATTCTGCGTTCAAACATGTGGTATAAGTGCCCAAAATATTGGGCCCAATCCAAGATATTGGGTCCAAAATTTATCAACAGATAAATAAATTTTAGAAAATCGCATCTTGGAGAGATTTTGAGATCACAGGATTAGAAATTGAGCATAGAGCCCGATGTAAGATTCTGCAGCCCAATGTGAGGGCCCAATATTTTTGGAATTTGTACCACAAGTCTAAGCCCAGAATTTCATAACGATTACGAAATAGAAGAAAACTAATTTTTTTACTGCCTCACATTGGGCTGCGAAATCTTACATTGGGCTCTGTGCCCAATTTGAAAAGTAGCTTTGAATTTTTAATCCTGTGACCCCAAAAACTACAAAAGATGCGATTTTATAAATTTATTTATTTAACGAAAAATGTTGGGCCTAATCTCAGACATTGGACCCAATATTTTTTGGCTTTTGTACTACAAGTTTAAACCCAGAATTTCATAACGATTCTGAAATGGATACTGAAAATTAGTGGGTTTTATTTAAACAACTAATTTTTTTAATGTGTGCCTCACATTGGGCCGCGGAATCTTACATTGGGCTTTGTGTACAATTTGAAAATTAGCTTCGAATTTCTAATCCTATGACCCCAAAAACTCCTAAAGATGCGATTTTTTAAATTTATTTAACGAAAAATGTTTAGCCTAATCCCAGACATTGGGCCCAATATTTTTGTCATTTTTACTACAAGTCTAACTCAAGAAATTCATGGGGATTATGAATTGGATACTGAAAATAAATGGGTTTTATTCAAGACAACTAATTTTTTTTACCGTGGGCCTCACATTGGGCGGCGGAATCTTACATTGGGCTCCATGCCCAATTTGAAAATTAGCTTCCAATTTCTAATCCTGTGATCTCAAAATCCCTCCAAGATGCGATTTTTTAAAATTTATTTATCTGTTGATAAATTTTGGACCCAATATCGTGGATTGGGCCCAATATTTTGGGCACTTATACCACATGTCTGAACGCAGAATTTCATGGGTATTACGAATTTGATACTGAAAATTAGTGGTCTCATTTAAGAAAACCACTTTTTTCATTATTGGGCTCCGGGCCCAATTTTTTGGTTTCAAAGATGTACATCTTTTTGTTTGGAACAACTTTTGTCTTGAACAATTTTTACAAAAATTCGTACTTTTCGAGATATTTGAGTTTCCATACTTTTGGAATACCCTGTATACTGCATCAGCACACTGTGCGCGCTGCGTCATGTAGCGCGACGATGGTTTTCGTTAAATTATTCAAAAACTACATTTTTTAAAAATCTGAAAAAAATATATGTTAAAGGGGATATTATAAGGTAACTTTTAAAAAAAAATTAAAGTGGTCACTTCAAAAAATCACCCCAAAAAAAATTTTTGAAAATTTCAAAATTAATTTTTTTTGACTTTTTTTCAAAAAAAAATTTTGAGATTTTTTTTTAGAATTGTCTTAGCGACATGTATAACATATTCAAAGCTCATTAAAATCGGTTCAGTAGTTTTCGAGAAAAGTGGATTTCTTTATTTTCCTTTCCCCTACCATAACTCCCCCAAAAATTCGAATTATGGGTTCATACTTGCAGAATTTTATATTTATAGGGGTAGCAATATATGGTGTCAATTTGAACAGAATACCTGCAACGGCACTTTTTGTATCCTTAACCCCCTATACCCTTTCTCAGAAAGAGATTAACTTTTCTTTTTAACTACAAGAAATTTATTAAAATATACTTTAAGGGGCTGTTCATATAGCACGTGGACAATTTTTTACAAATTGTAGTTCCCCCTCCCCCCTAAATACACTTAATCGTGGATATTTTTAACCTTTTCTAGTTTCTCCCTTGATCCAAAAGTGTCCACGTGGTATATGGATAAGCCTTTACTTCAATTTAGAGTTTTTTTTATTAATTTAAAAATATAATTGCTTGATTTTTATTTTGTTAACAGGTTAGACCACTGTGAAAGAACCCCGCACCGTATACATGGGAACTTGGGTTCCAGTGAAATTTCTTGCAACTTTGTAATTTTTTAGTTTTTGACCTCCTGAACAAAAAATGTAAATGGCAAAATTCAAAAAAATGGATATTATCTTCTTATATTATTATATTTATGGTTTAAGTTTAAAAAAACAGTGTTAAAAGTGAAAAAAATTCAAAAATGAGTAAAACCAAAAGAACTAAATAAACTTTCTTAAAACCCCCCCGTAACAAGATTCAAGTGAATTTGATGTATTTTAAAAAAATTGGTCGGACATTTTGGATCCGCCATTTCGGATTTTGAAAAATTGACATCGAATTTGTAATCAGCGACCCCGAAAACCCCCGAGTAACGCTTTGGTTTTACTCATTTTTTAATTTTTTTTGCTTTTAACATTGTTTTTTGTAACTTAAACCTTAATTATTAAAAAATCTGTCAGTTTTTTGAATTTTGCCATTTACATTTTTTGTTCAGGAGGTCAAAAACTACAAAATTACAATGTTGTAAGAAATTTCTCCGAACCACAAGTTCCCATGTATATGGTGCGGGGTTCTTTTTAAAAAATCGAAAAATTTTTTTTGCTAAAAAGGTGCCTTAGGGTGTTAGAAATGAGAAACAATAATAATCATTATACATATGGGGCATTCTATTTTAAAATTATACCCCTAGTAAACAATTGACAATATAAGACATTTTTTAAATAATTATTTCTCCCATTTAATTAAATTAAATTACTTTTGCAATGAGTGGTTTCGAAAGAGAAATTTCTAAATTTTATTATTGTAAAAAAAATTTTTTAAAAAAACGTTTAATTAGCATAAAAAATTTAGTTTGAAGGTTAAACTTATAAATATCTCAAAACACGTTGTCTCCGATTTTGACAAAATCTGTGTCAAAAGAAAGCTTAAATATTCTATTTTTTATTTCCGTAAAGTTTATAATGGACATTTTCGAGGATTTCGAGAAATTAATTAAAATTCTCAGACGTTTCGGAGGTTAAAAAGGGTTGAAATTTGCATGAATAGAGAACCTCTGTTCAAATACAGCGGCATTTGTTTTTACGAAATTTTTAAATAAATAAATTTTAAAACTTCTATTTTAATCTTAATAATTTTTTTAAATTTGAAAAATTTTTAATTGCAAATAGCTAAAGATCAATATATTTATTGTTTACAATATTTTTTTTCTCTAATGTCAAGTGATGTAATAATGTAAGGTTAATGGAAATTAAATTTAAAAAACAAAATCCGCTCTTAAAGAAATGGTTCTCCATTCATACAAATTTCAATCCTTTTTAACCTCCGAAACGTCTGAGAATTTTAATTAATTTCTGGAAATTCTCGAAAATGTCCATTATAAACTTTACGGAAATAAAAAATAGAATAAATTAATTTAATAATGAATTTATCCCTTGGTGTAATGAATAGTAAGGAAAAAAATTTAACAATCCATCCAAGTCAAGTAGTAAAATAAAAGAAATTATTTTTGACGTTTCGACAGCACTGCTGTCCTCATCAGAAACGAAAAAAAATAAACTATAAAATTGTCATCTTGAAGTTAAGACGTCAAAAGACAAGTTTGTCTTCTTCAAGATGACAATTTTATAGTTTATTTTTTTTCGTTTCTGATGAGGACAGCAGTGCTGTCGAAACGTCAAAAATAATTTCTTTTATTTTACTACTTGACTTGGATGGATTGTTAAATTTTTTTCCTTACTAAAAAATAGAATATTTAAGCTTTCTTTTGACATAGATTTTGTCAAAATCGGAGACAACGTGTTTTGAGATATTTACAAGTTTAACCTTCAAACTAAATTTTTTATACTATTTAAATGTTTTTTTAAAAATTTTTTTTTACAATTGTAAAGTTTAGAAATTTCTCTTTCGAAACCACTCATTGCAAAAGTAATTTGATTTAATTAAATGGGAGACATAATTATTTAAAAAATGTCTTATATTGTCAATTGTTTACTAGGGGTATAATTTTAAAATAGAATGCCCCATATGTAAAATATTTTTAAAAGCTTAAATTTCACATCCAATGGGTATCGGATATACGGTTCTGGGTATCATAGAGACATACGTTTACGCGTTTTTCTCAAAACCAAGTTTTTCAAACTGGCCGGTAACTTTTCTCGTATAATTTTTGACCAAATTAACTAAAAATTGGTTTACAGCTTCAAGATAACATTCTTTATGAAAGTACGTAGGGGTTTTTTTTCTTTATCAAAAATTTTTTTTAACAATTTTGTACCGATTTTTTTACTGAAACTGAAAAAGATTTTTTACCTGTCGTACATCTCTGCATAAAAAAGGGTTTTTGTAGATCGACTGTCAGCGCCGCCATTTTAATTTTTTTACGTTTTGAAAATAATTTTTTAATAATGTACTCAACAACTTTAATATGTACTCAACAATAATATATAATTGATTTTTTAATTCATATTTTTCTGTTCTTGAAAAAAAAATCTTAAAAATGGGTCTGATTTGGTCTTCACAGTGGTCTAACCCCTTAAAACTATTACTATTAGAATAATCATAAGTTATATATAATTACCTCTTCCAAATTTGCAAGTCCATCTTCAATATAATTTAGCAATACAAAGATGCAACTGAAAATAATAAATAAAACTTGATAATATTTACACATTTTTAATTTTATTTTAAATTGAACTTTTCAAATTTTTGAAAAATTCCTAAAACTCTTGCTTTATATACCATTTCTTTTAACGTTTTTTTTAATAGAGCAATAAAATGTAATATTTAAAACGTGTATCAATCGTCTTTAAATGATAAATAATATTTCCTTCCGAGTTGTCTTGTATATAATAATTGTAGATAAAAATATATGGGCGACTATATTTCAATGTGTTACAAAAAATTGAATTATCATATATTATTTTATAAACATGCTAGCAAAATGAAACGCGCGCCAAATTGGGTATTATTAATTAAATTCACCTAATATTATCAATAATAATTTAAATTTATTAGAATATTATTATATATTAAATGATAATAATGAAAATTATATGTTTATATAATTAATATTTAATAGAATTGAAACGAAGCTGAAGTACGCAATGTTTATCAACAAAAACATTTTTTTTAAAAGTTAAATATTACGTCTAAATTACATATATTTAACATAGGTGGAATATTTATCTGAAAAATGCTTTAAATTATTATTAATTATTATTAATATTAATAATTATTAATAATAATTATTATAATTATTATTAAATTATTATTATTCAAATTCAATGACCAACTTTTCGTCATTGTACTGACAACCTAAAACAAAGAAACACAATAAACTAATAATAATTAATAAATAACTCAACTTAATGTGACTGGATTAGAAGAATTTTAAATAATATTATTTAAAATAAAAATGTTATTGTACCATCGTAACATGTAAACATGCAAATTTTTATTTTGCAGGTGATGTTGATGAGCCCTCAATGGACTGAATCTCAAGAAAGCAGAGTAACATTACAAGAAACTCCTCAGTGTGTTCCCATTTTTAGTGAATTTCTTCGTTACTTCTATACTGGTCAAATTAGAATCAGTAATGAAATTGTACTCCCAATACTCTCTTTAGCAGATAAGTACAATGTAAAAGATTTGATAAAATTATGTCTTGATTATATGGAAAATCACATTGCTTTGGCAGCAACTCATGGAACCTTAGTGTCATGGCTTCAATATACATTGAATTGTGGACATCATGACATCACGCAGGCATTTCAAAATTTTATCAAATGGAATCTTGAACTTGTTGCAAAAACGACAGATTTTGGTAATTTTGAACTCGACATACTTATTGCTCTTCTTCATCAGAGCAGTTTAGTTGTTAAAGACGAAATGACATTATACAAATGTCTTGAGTCATGGCTTGATCATCAGGCGAATCGTTTGAGATGTCAGATGCCAATTAATGAGCTGGAATTAACTCTAAAACAACTTGTAATGGCCGTCATGTCTCCCGTTAGATTCCCGATGATGTCACCTCGTCAGCTGGCTGATTTGCTTCTCTCTCCTCTCACTCAAAAGTACAAAGAATTTTTTGTTGAACGAATGGCAATTGGCATGTCTTTTCATTCGGGTCAAAATGAACGTGTCAGGGAAGTTATTAAAACTGAAGAAGATGGATGTCTACTTTTTGAACCAAGACTCTACACAGTCGATACATGTAGCTCTCTATTAACAATAGAAAACTTTCATAGTTTACGATCATATCATACAAGAACTCTTGTCTTTTCAAGTCATTCTTATCTTGCTGAATATGCAGGTGATCAAACATGTGAATGGGTCGTAGACATTTATCCAAAGGGAGTTTGGTTTAAAAAATTCTTTTTGATAGTTTGGCAGGGTACTGTGGAAATGCCAGAGCATGTTATACGATCGGTGAGGCTATCATTGACATGTAAGGAACCACCAGCAAATAGTGATTCAGACAAAAGAGTAAAGATTGGTGTTTTGATTTATGGACTTCAAGATGGTGTTGAACATATTGCTCGAGTTATGGAGACTATTCACAGATTTAACAAAAATGATCGTGTCCTTAATTTGGATGATTTATTGCCTTTTGAGGAACTAAATCCTCAGCAGAATGGAGGTATGAATTCGGATAATGCAGTTTCTTCTTTTCTAGTTGGTCCAAATAAAGATATGCTAAAGTTGCATATTGTTATCTCGCCAGCAAATCACAACACTCTTGATGAGATTTGACAGTCCACTGTTGAACTTTATCAGATTTATAAATTTTCATGAAAAAAATTAATTAAGTAATTTTGAATGATCTTAACAATATTTTTTGGAAGCTTAATATGCCTTGTCTACATATTTCGATTCAGAAGGAATATAAAACTTCCAAAAATTATTTCCAGGTATTAAATTAATCAAAATATTTTGTCAAAAAATTTGTTAAAAACTCGATTTTGGAATATTTAAAAAATATCTCGTCTAAAAAATTATAACAAAAATTTGTTTGTTGAAAAATAACTTATTAAGTTGGTTTTACTAAATTTAGAAAGTATTTAACATAAAAAATGATATATGTGTATATAATAGTTCTTAACATTTAAGAAAAGAGATTTTTATTTATTTTCTGTAGGTAATCTTTAACATAATTATGAAAGATTGTAAAACTGTAAATTGTTACAAAAAATCAAATAGATAGTTGTTATTTCTAATATTTTAGAACTAGAATCTACATTTAACATGAGGCTAAGAAATTACTATTAGTTGTATAGACTAAAAAAGCATCAAAAAAGATTATTTTACCTTTTTTTTAAGTTTTTCTTTTGTTTTAATGACGTCTCAAAATAGAAAAGTATTTCTACACAGGAATACAAAAATGTGTAGTTATTTGTATGCGCTTGCATGATAAAAAATATATTTTTAATGTGAATAAAAAAGACGTCTTATTTAGTCGAAAATATCAATTTATTTTTAATCTTTTGCCAATGTTTCGAGCTGATACCAGCTCATCTTCATGGTTACAAAATTCAAATTATATAAATTACAAAAATATATAATAGTAAAATACATATTATATGAAATGTGTTGTTAATATGTTAACATACCAATTACGTAAAGTTTAACTTTTTTGTTTTTTTTAATTTTGATTCTAAAAGAATCCATTTTGTTGGTGTTAAAACCATTATTAAGATTTTTATAATTTTACTAATAAAAATGAAATTAAATATATTTTTAAATTTTATAATTATTTATTTTTTCGATAAAGATTTCCTATTCCCATAAACTTTATAATGGTTATATGTCCTATCCAAATTTTGGTACTTGTTTACTTATGCGGCTTTTCTCAATTTTCTGTAGGTAATCAATTAAAGTAAACAATAGTAAGTAAAAGTAAAAATTTAAAAATTTCAGTAAACAATTACACAAATTTTTTAAGTTTATCGCTGAGAATTTAATTTTATAATTTACAACCTACTGAAACTTCAATTCAGTTAATCTCACAAAAAACATTTGGTTTATTAAAATAGAATATCAACTGAATGTTTATAAAATTCCATGCATTTACTGCATTCCATTTGCATTGGTACAATATTATAGCAGTAACACATAACAATTAACCTCGACAAAACATGGTAAAAATCTATCGCTAACTACAATAAAACCTAAAAAATATGGTAATTGAAAATGGTTACTTGGGGGTTTTTGGGGTCGCTGATAAAAAATCCGGTGTCTGTTTTTCAAAATTCAAAATGGCGGATCCAGTATAGCGGACGATTTTTTAAATAATCGTTCGGATTAGATTGAAAATCGTTATTCGGGGGTTTTCGGGGTCGCGTATTTCGAGTTTCAAGCATAACCGTCAAATTTAAAAAAATATATGCGCCATATTGGTTCCGCCATTTTGAATTTTGAAAAAGTAACATCAGATTTGTAATCAGCGACCCCAAAAACCCCCGAGTAATGATTTTTAAGCAATACCGCACGGTGGTCAGGAAGCCAGAAAGTTCCGACCAAAAATGACGACCAAATCGGCAACCGTGGAAATTTTAAGGTAGGTTTGGACATTACAAATCCGTTGGAATTGAAATCCTTGCTGATCGTTTAAGCGAGCTACCGCGAAATTAGTTCCAAATGTTTAAATTTAGAGTTTAATTTTTTATAAAATGCAACTTAACACAAAAGATTGTTATAAATATTAGTATATACATGCTTTTAAATGTATAAATATAAACACTTAAACATATTTGTGTACATAGTGCTTTATACTTATGTACATTGATATGTTATATTATAAATATTTACGAAAATTGACTATATTTTATGAAAATAATTGTTTTTTAAGTTTATATTTTTCATTATTGTTATTATATTATTCTTTTATTGTACATCTGTCAATTAATTTCGAATTTCAAAATGCATTATTTATTCAAAAGTAAGTACTCTTACAAGATTTATCAGATTATGGATATTTATATTTTAACATTTTTATGTGTGTACATCCTAAAACAGGGTTTCTTTATTTATTTTTTCTTGTCAAATTTAAATTTGATAATTTGTAAATTTTTGCAACAGTCATGAAAATCAATATTTTTATAAAATTAGAATTTTTGTTTTTACTTTAAAATTTACATAATCCGATGGAGATTTCATTCTAATAAATTAACAACTTCCCAGTCGAAAATCCTATGCTATATGAAGTTCAATAAAAATTCTAATTGAAGCGTTAGGATAGCTGATCAACAGAAGTTAAATATATCAGTAGAAATCTATCAAGAAGCATATTAAGTCCAATTTTTCGCTTTCTAAAGGCTTCCACTATTTTTTGTCATTCGAGTAATTTGAGGTCTTGTTTTCCGTGCGGCTTCTCTGAAGTCTTTCCGGACGCTCTAAATTCGTTAGCTTACTCCAAATTGTGATTAGAGAAATTTCTGAATTGACAGATGTACAATAAAAGAATAATATAATACAATAAATAAAAATATAAATATAAACTTAAAAAACAATTATTTTTATAAAATAATATAGTGTAGTGTAATAAGGAAATTTAAAAATTGGTAAGTATAAAAAATAATAATAGACTTTATTTATTTAATAAATTAGTTGGAAAATATATTAATATAATATAATTAATATAGTAATTTACAGTAATTTTAATTGAAATAATTATAATAACAAGAAGGGGGTCCTTTATGTTTATTTCATAAACATTATGCTTCCTCATTATGTGAAGCAAAAAATTCGCTTCCTCGTGAAGGAAGCAATGAATTTGTCCAATTCAATTGATTGATTTAAAAACTTTCGAATTAAAAATGTTTTAAATTAATTAAATTTTTTGAAAAATAAAGAAAATTTTAATTAATTTTGAGTGTAACATAAACTTTATATATACGAATCGATTCGTTTTAATGCAAGGAATACAATTATTTTATTCATCAACTTGAATTTTAAAAAAACACAAAATTTTTTAGCTAAAATATGAATTTTCGATTTTTCAATTTTTATTAATTCTCAAATTTTAAATCAAATCTATACTTTATATATACCAACCAATTCGTTTCAATGCAGGGAATAAAATTATTTCATATATAAACATGAATTTAAATAAACACCTCATTTTTTAGCTAAAATGAGAATTTTTGATTTTTTAACTTTCTTTAATTCTTTAAATTTCAATCAAATCTATACTTTATATATATCAATCGATTCATCTTGACATAAAGAAGACGATTATATTATATATTACCTTAAATTTTTCGATTTAAAAATTTTTTCAATTAAAAAAAAATTTTTGGAAAAAAGACGATAAAATTTTTTTTTTGGGGTATTTTTAAAAATCCTCTCGTCATTTTTGAGAGATTAATGAGTTAAATAAGCCTACCAAATTTTATCCAAATCCATTAAAACCTGTTAAAGATATCGTGTTCACAAAAACGATCCACACACACATACACACACACACACACACACATACACACACACATACATACATCCGGACAATTGATCAGGATCTCATATAACATGTTTCTATATAGAGGAAAATTTGTTTTCACCATTTTTAAAAAGTTTATAAACGAAAGGACTACATAGCTTCCTCCACGAGGAAGCAAAAAACATATATATTAAATAAACAAACTATATTTATAACTTTTTCAATTGAATTTATTGAATAAAAACAATTAGCGAACAATATTGTTAGATAAGAAAAAAAATAATAATAATAATGATTTTTTTTGTTAGATAACAAACAATATTGTTCGTTAATTGTTTTTATTTAATAAATTCAATTGAAAAAGTTATAAATATAGTTTGTTTATTTAATATATATGTTTTTTATTATAATTATTTCAATTAAAATTACTGTAAATTACTATATTAATTATATTATATTAATATATTTTTCAACTAATTTATAGAATAAATAAAGTCTATTATTTTTTATACTTACCAATTTTCAAATTACCTTATTACACTACACTATATATACACATTTTTTCACTGTAATATAATTAAATAACAATCATAAATAATTAAAAGTAATTATTAATAAATAGATAATAATACTAAAAAGTAATTTTTACAAATTTTATTACACCGATTTAAAACTTATAGGACTATTCACGTTTTTTAAAAATTTTTTAATTTCACAGCACTGACAATAACTTTTAATTTGCTTAATAATTCCTTTTTTAAAAAATCAGAAAGAAATCTACTATTATATTTTACCATTCGACAAATATGAGAGATTCTTTTTCAATCGCCCCAGCCCAAAAAGTCAATGTTCTGGGATTGGCTTCATACTTTGGTAAATTGTTGTCCTATATGATAGTAATAAATCCCTAAAATATAAACTAATTAAAAAAATATTTGTAGAAAGTAGAGGGGGTTGAAGTTTTGACGTTAAGGGTAACATTGTCATTTTCAAATCCGTTTAACTATGACAAAAGTTAATGGATTTTAATTTATCTATAATGAATTTTATTGCATTTTTCACGTACTTTTCAAAAATGTATACAAAATTTAAAAAAAAAAAATTTTGACCCCTTTTTTTTCAAAATCAACCCTTATTTTTCGATTTTCACCCCTTCGGGAATTTTTTTTTGTTTTTTTTTTATATTCATTGGAAAGCTGAGGTTTTTTTCCATGAGCTATGTAAATATGAAAATGGGACAACAATAATTTTGTGAGAAACATAATATTAAATTAGGCGGTGCCTATCTAAATCCTCAAAGATGATCTCCAGGTACACCCCTTATCGGCACCGCCTACTTTAATATTCTGTTACTCACAAAATTATTGTTGTCCCATTTTCATATTTACATAGCTCATCGGAAAAAACCTCAGCTTTCCAATGAAAATAAAAAAAAAAAAAAAAAAAATACCCGAAGGGGTGAAAATCGAAAAATAAGGGTTGATTTTGACAAAAAAGGGGTTAAAAATTTTTTTTTTTAAATTTCATATACATTTTTGAAAAGTACGTGAAAAATGCAATAAAATTCATTATAGATAAATTAAAATCCATTAACTTTTGTCATAGTTAAACGGATTTGAAAATGACAATGTTACCCTTAACGTCAAAACTTCAACCCCCTCTACTTTCTACAAATATTTTTTTAATTAGTTTATATTTTAGGGATTTATTACTATCATATAGGACAACAATTTACCAAAGTATGAAGCCAATCCCAGAACATTGACTTTTTGGGCTGGGGCGATTGAAAAAGAATCTCTCATATTCAGAGTCGATAATGAAGTGTCACTCATTATCATAATCTTCTCTTCTTTACCCATAAAATGTCAAGTACAGCAGTATACTATCAGTTAAAAAGTGATTTTTCGGAAAACTCTTTCTTTTTCCTCGATCGAGGTATTTTTATACTTTCTTTTTCTGTATATATCAAGAATTATGCATTTTCTACCGTTTTTTTAATGTTTCAATAGTTTTTCATAATATTTTAGCAGCTTTTTAGACACGAGAAATATTGCGGATGATTGGGCATAGTGCATTGGACAATTAAACAAACACTCCAATTGTCTGAATGCATTTTAGACAATTGAGCAACGGCTTGCTCAATTGTCCGAACTGCTATCTCAAAAAATCCTTTTTTACTGGGATCCTTTGAATACTAATTGGAGAGTATCGGGGCTTGCTATGTAGGTCACTTTAGCCAGGGCTCTTAGGACATTAATCGACTGAGTAGCCCTTCCCGCTAGATATTTGATATGCTCAT